ACCCCACCCCCATCATAATTTTTAATTTCATTACGGATGCTCGAACGGCCTCATAATGGGCTCCTTCTCTGTTCGATATCCCATAGGCCATCTGGCATGATCCTATATATATATATATATATGGATCAAAATATCGATCGTGATCGTTCGAGCGAAAATACAACGTGGCCTAACTTCATAAACCGTTCTTCTTCTTCTTCGTCTTCGAGGCCGATCGTCAAGCCGTGTAATCATGCTAAGTTCGAATTTACATGACAAATTGTCCGAGTAGGCTAAATCATTTCCTCTTTCTCTTTTGAAGAACTTTGTAGATGATTATTGCGATAACCATACAATATGCAATTATATGCGTTATCTTCTCTCTCTCTCTCTCTCTCTCTCTCTCTCTCACTTCTCTTCTTCATTGTTTTTTCTTTTTTTCAATTATTTCAAAATATCTTACACGTTATAAGATATTATTGATTTTTATCATAATTTCTCTTACACATCGAAAACTTTTAATATTCTTCGAAGATTCTGATTATGTTATTCAATAAGAAAGCATCATCGAGTTCCGGTATGTGTGTATGTGTGACATCCCATCGTATAATGAAAGAGAAAAGTATCCTGTAAGCATCGATAAGGCACGTATTAATTAAATAATAACATCCGGCGAGAATAAATGCCATTACTATAAATTTCTGACATCATATTTGGCGAAATGTTATTTAAAGACATAACGATTCTTAAAATAATTTAATCTGATATTTATAATCTCTATATACAGTTTATATATATACTTTGTATAGTCCTGTATATGTTTAAACTGTAATTATTGTAATAGTAGTAGGTCTCCCTCCACCCTTCCTTTCTCTTTTCCCTGGCACCCCCACCCACTCACCCTTCAACGAATAAGAATAAATTCGATCTCCTAATATGTAATTTACAAACAAAATTCATACAAGATATGCGTACGTATATAAACCATAGTCGGTGTGTATCCGATCAGCCGTTAAGAAGGAAGCTCGTAAGAAAAAGAGAAAGAAAGAAAGAGAGAGAGAGAGAGAGAGAGAGAGAACGATGTTGAAGATAAGACAGGGGACGTGTCTCCTTTACCCTGATTCTCTCCTTCCATTCTTCGATGCACAGGGCCCCGAAGTTCGGGGGACCAACGTGGGCCTGCACGTAATCCACGGGTACGTCGTGACGAATTTGTTCATCTGCCCAATGAGCCAGAATGCACCCCCACATCCTCTCACCGTGTTTCATCGTTCACTCTCCCTCTCTCTCTCTCTCTCTCTCTCTCCCTCTCTCTCTCTCTCTCTCTTTTTAACTATACATCTACTCCTCTCTTTTGCACGCGTTCTTCTCTTATATTATATATAAAATATATAGATATATATACGCGTGTATATACAAATACAAGCACGTCTTCCCAAGAAGAAGAAGAAGAAGAAGAAGCCACGAAACGGGACCCTGTTTTCAAGATGGCTACTGTCCGCATCGGTGGTCATCGAACGCAAACTCGGCACAAGGGAAGAACAAGGAGAGAGACGACCCCATCGTTTCTCTATCGAAAGGATCTTCAGATCAACTTCTTTGTCCAACGTTACTCTTTAAACTATACGTTTATATACTTCCAAAAATGGCCCTCGAGAGAGAACGTTGTGCGGTCTTTCTAAAAACCTTTTCAAAATATCAAACGATTTTTAATTCGTCTTTCATAGAGACTAACTTTAAATATCCAACAACGATTTTAAACCATCCCCCCACCATCCATTCGACTTGTATACGTAATACCTAAGGTTGTTTTTCAATCGTTGTATATGGGACCATTGTTTTAACATAGGTGATATTTTGATTATGATGAAAATGGGTTCTGTCGGTCTATTCTTATCTTGGGACCATCATCGCAATATCGATATAATGGAATACTTGTCATTTTTAGGCTGTTACACGTTCTGTTACAATTCTATAATCCAATAGATTTGTTACCGTAACTATTTTTATATTAAATAAGCTTTTCGAAGCATTCAAATACGATGAAAATTTGGATATATTTCTCAATATTATTCCAATAACGTCAATTTGTAGTAGTGGATTTTCTTCCTCGAGAGAATTTAATTGCAATGGAACAATTATTGGCGTAATTTTGGAAAAAAATCTGACAATAAATGGACTAATTTAATTGGCAAATGAGAGAAAGGAAGATACGATGAAGTAGAGAGAAGGAGGAAGAAGGGGAGGAAGAGAAACTAGGATGAAGGAAATATAGAAAAGAAGAGGAAGAGACGTGGAGAGTGAAGGACAACAAAGGGGAGGGTTAGGGGAGGAGGCAAGAAAAAGAAAAAGAGAGGGAGAAAAAGAGATAGAGAGAGGGAGAGAGAGAGAGAGTACGTAGAGCTCTCGTGTTTCCGGCCGAGTGAACAACAATACCCGCAGACAAATGAGCATCCCGCCTCCATTGTTCGCTTCATCGGCACAGAGGAGAACGTAGCCTCTAGCCCGGGTACCCTCCTTGCTTTTACTCGCGTCCTTTCCTCTCCCACCCCATGGACGGTGTGCTCCATGGTACCCCACAGTGTGTGCCTCACGTCGCCGTCGTCGTCCTCAAACACCCGACTGGGGGGTCCTCGATCAACCTGATGCGGGCCAACACCGATTAAACATCGCTGCTTCGTCGAATCTCCGTCAACGAGACTGCTTTTTCCTCTCCTCTCCTCTTCTCTCCTCTCCACACCTCATCACACTTTGTCTCTCTTCTTCTCTCATTTCCCTCCTCTTTCCCCCTTCTACATCTCCTCCTCCTCTTCCTCCTACTCCTCTTTAATATCTACCTTTCTCTTTTATTTCCTTAATCTATCACTTTTCCTTCTTCTCTTCTAGTTGATACAACTCTAATCTCTCTAGGTCAACTGTTTGCTGTGTTTTCTTTTTTTTCATATTGTTTTCATCTTATATGGTAATTATAATTTATATATAATGTATATTTATATATATATATATTTAGAGATGGACTAATATTAGTGTGTATACATACGTTTTGTACTCCAAATTCATTGTTTTGCTAATCAAATTTATCCTTTTGCACTTGAAATTCATCTTTGTGTAAATCAAGTATTTCTACATAAATTAAAATTCATTAAAATGTACATTAATTAAGTAAGAAATTAAAAATATATATATGTATTATTATTAGAGAGTAAGTAATAGATACTTATTTAAAAATAATTACCGATTCATTAAAGTTGTAGTACATACGTATTACGTAATTCATAATTACATAATTAGATTCATAGTATGTACATATGTATAAAAACTGCGTGTCAATTTTGTACATATATAATCTAATCCATAATAGTGTACATATGTACATAAATATATAGTAACACTGCGTAATAGTTTTAGTAATTGCAAATTAGTATATACGTTTTATATATTTAGGACAGTTAACATAAATAATTTCTCAACAAAAAGTAAAGTTGCTTTTTATAAAACCATCAATTAACTTTCCAAGGCATTCAAATTTTCAATTCCACGTTTTTCTAAACGTTCTTCAAACGATGCTATCTCTGCTTTCATTTCATCATACGTTTGAAATACTGTATCAGCATAATCCAAATTGCTTTCCCTGCGAATCGAAATGATAATTAGAGAAAGGTGTCTTTATTTATTTATTCCATTTTTTAGTTAATATGAGATCCTTATCAAAACTAACTCAAGATCTCTTTCCGCAAGACAAAATTTACATTTATTCCCGAAGAGGATGGCCTTGTCCAACCCAATTTTTTGAAACAATCGTAATCCATTATACCAAATTCTTTTTTTACCTGAATCATATTCGTTCTTATATAATGAAGACGTTGATTTTAAATTAGAAGACATATCACATATAGATTTCTCAGAATTTTCAAATTCATCAGTATGGGAATACATGCAGGAACATGAAGATGATTTTTCAACTATTTTTCTTGCTATTTTAAAATTAACATATAAAATTTATAAAGAAAATATATATATATTGAAAGATCATAACAAAAATTAATATTACAATGAAGTAAATACATACATTCTAATGGTATAAATGGTTTCAAGTTACATTGCGAATCTAAAAACTTCCATAATTCCTTTATCTTCTTTAATTCTTGATCGTTAGTAATTTGTGTAAATATTAATTCAATGTTATTTTCATTTTCTTCAATTAAAATTTTCGATCGTAGTTTCGATCGGCCTAGTCTCGACATTTTTTCAAATAATTTAAATTATTTTTATCTCGCAATTTTTGAACTATCGATATAATCCTTTTTCTTCGATAATCGAAATAATTAAATATCGAACATATAATTGTAAATTAGTTGCTAGTAACTTCGATTATTGATTGGCTACTGTTCGAAGTCGATAAAGTCGCATTCTTATAAAAACGCGCATAATTTTTTAATTAATATTATTAACATATTTTTTATATGTTCATTATATACAAATTTAGGAAATCAAATCTTTTTTGATTAATATATATAACACGTGGTTTTATATTAAATAAATATAACATTAAATTTTATAATTGTGTTTTTTTATGTGACGTCGAGAACATACAAGCAGCGCCACTTAGTTTTATTTTTAATTGCGTACTAAAATTAAATTCAAAATGTCATCATAGTGAATCGTAAATTGTCATTTTTTAATTACTCTTTTTTTATTCTTAATTAAAATTAAACCCATAGATTTTCCACACGGCATCGTTTAATATAATATTTAAATCTAAATTTAATAGGACGTTAACGTAACGTCGGTAGATAAAACAGTGTGGTAGCGGTAATATTTAAAATAATTCAATGGCTCGCCAGGAAGGACGAAAGGAAATAATTCAAGAAGTAAGGTAATTAATATTAAATGATTTTATATTATTGTAATATATTAATAAAAATGTAATTAAGTATTATTTAATGAAATAAATTTAATATAAGAAGGTAAAAAATATTGACATGAATAAAGAGTATGATGTCATTGCCCCGACAGGTTATGAAGAGTGCGCGCCGTGGACATCAAGATGGCCGCTACGTACAACTGATGATAGTTATACGTATTCATAAAAATTGTGACGGCGTTTCGTGATAGAGGTGCCGCGCTTTTTCGAGGCTTCGACATGGTGATAGTGTACAGTTAGTTGCATCTTTATCGATGAGGATTAGCTCGTTTGCTCTCAATGGTATTTTCTGCATTCGCGGCCGGCTACGGCTCGCATTGAACCATGTTCGGTAAAAAACTTCATGTAGACGTCAAAAAATCAACACTCAAAGTTCAGGATGTTAAGAAGGACAGTGCGACCCGATTTAAACATCTTAAAATAGTCCTAGGTAAGCTTTCAATATCTTTGAACGTCGAACTTTGCTTATATCATTGGTTTAGGTCATCCCTCAAAATTTACTTGTCTTTTTAGCAAGTGTGTGGGTGCGTGGAAAAGAGAGAGAGAGAGAGAATGTGTGAGTGCATGTGAGAGAGAAAGAGATGATGAATGAATAGAATAAGACAGTCAAATAGATATGTAGTTAGATTGTAGTAGGTAGATACACGAGTAAGTAGGTAGATAGAACGAGAAAGAGAGAGGAAAGGAGTGGGCAAATATTCTTAGCATCAATTAACTTCTACTCGATGAGAATTGAATATTTTTCTTACTGTTACTGTTGTAACAATTACAAATATTTCATATTAAAACTTTTACGTTTAATTTTCTTTGATCAATAAAATTTACATACATTCTATATAAGAATTATATCAAATTACACCGATTGTCATTGTTTATAGATTAATTATATTTATATAATCTTGTAACATACACATATATTAACAAGATTCTTCTGATCTTGACTGGTTTTGGTGTTTATTTAAAAGAAAAAAAATATAATACATAGTTGATACATTGTAATTATACTACGTTGCAAGTAGTTGGTATCTAATCACAAAACCACATGACCACATCGACCAACTCATAGTGGCCTCCACTTCCAGCTAAAATTACACTTTCATTATATACAGATAATATTGTATACTCATCTGTATAGGAATTCCAGAACTGGTTAAAATATTTTTAGACCACTTTGTAATATGTATCATTAGCTATAAATACAAACTCTGTTAAAGATTTAGGATATAATAAAGTTAACATTAAATTCTATTCTATTTTATTTTTTTTAGAAAATTTGGATACAGATGAAGCGAAAGGATTTTTTGAAGGAAATTTTAGTCATGTTTATTTTATATTATATGACTGCTTTGTGTCAGCAGAAGCAAATCTACGACAGCGAGGTAAGACTGCGTTTAATTCTATTAAATTCTATAGGAATATAATCAAAAGTCTTATTTAATTGTACTTATCCATTAAACCATTGTAATTTCTCTACATATTAATTCTTTAATTAAATGTAATTTTATTCTCTTACGCTGACAGAACTTTCTTTTCATATTGGTAAGTTAAATTGGTAACTAGAAATAGTATTTTGTATCGCCCTATAGTATAAATATAGATATAGTTATTTAATTAAATATTCATGACTTTTATGAATTCTGAATGACTAATGTTGAATTTTATTTTTAGTACACAAGGCACATAGAGAGGAATTAGAACAAGTATTACATCTATTAGAAAAAGTTTTAACTCTCCTTCCTGAACTCTTAAATAAACGATGGCAATGTCACAGTCTTGCAAGGATTCTCAAAAAATTATTACACCCTGGAAATAGTTGGAAACTTCGTAGACAGGCCATAAGGTGAAGACTTTATAAATTTACCTAAGATTATATACAGACAATAATAAAATAATATTGTAAAACTATATTAATTTCTACGTATGTATGTTTTAGATATTTCATTTTATGGTATCAAGCACTGGGTGAAAATGCTCCTGAACCTATCCATCAAATGTTTGCATGTTTGGTCCCAGGTTTTCCACCGCCACATTTTTCGCATTATAAATGTGAACGCAAAATTGATAACAAAAAAGAAAAAACAACGAAAACAAGCACATCGGATGAAAAAGAGAAAAGAGACTTTTATGATGCACAAGTGATACAAAGTAACTTTCATGATAATGGTTCGAATCAGAGTCCAGTAAGTCAGGTAGATGGTGGACCTATTTTACCTCCACAAGGAGGAGAAAAACCATTAGACAATGAGACTGTTAGATTTTTAGAAGCATTGTTAGAGTTCATGGTAACCCAAGTAGTCAAGATAGAATGGAGAGATAAAGCAACGAGGCAGCACAAGACATTTCAATTTTTATTAGAACGTTTTAAATCAACATACCTCCGATATATTTGTCCAGAATTTGATGACAATTTTTCTTTATATAAGCCTAATTTAGAGTTGCCTACAGTGAGAAAACCAACCAATCAAAGTCAAAATAATTATCTTCTCTGTAAAGTTGCCCTAATCAAATGGATTGCAAATTTCACTCATGTCGCAAGAAAAGATAGCCTTTTTACAAATCTTCCACAAAGCACAACGCCCAATGAAGAAAATCCAGAATCAGAGCTACGTCGTGTTTCAGTTACTCAACATTCGAGTGATTCCAATTTACTTTCACCTGAATCTGCCCTCTCTCAACACGATAATCAAAATCAAGAAGATAACGCTATATCAGCTATTACTTTAGTCAGAGAAGTTCTCTATGGGAATAGAGATAATGTTAATTTTGTTCATGAACTTTATAGACAAGCATTTCTATTAGACTTCAGTCATGCGGGAGCAATAAGAAAAGCCATAGCTGTATATAAGGATTGGATACAAATGAATGAATTACCTCCATTTATGTTAGAACCATTGGATGGTCATAAAGAACGAGATTACGATGATAGCCTCAAGAAAGATTTTAACGAGACGGATAAGAGTCCATCTGAAAATTATCGACAACCTAGATTGAGGAATGATTCATATTTAGGTGCTATACATAGAGAAAATTTATTTATTAGAGCAGGATTACAAAATGTACTCCAAGTATTTATTACACAAGCGTCACACGTTTTTTTCCTCGAATATTCTGGTTTAAATTCGAATGCAGCTCTGATAGAAGAACAAACGGATAGTTGTAAAAGAGTTTTGAATGTTTATCGATACGTTGTCATGCATTCAAGATTGGAACCTGCAACGTGGGAACAGTTGCTCAGAGTACTTCTTCAAATTACTTCCTTGGTATTAAGTGAAAATTCATCTCGTCGCAAACACCACGAAACTATTGGAGGCAAATTGGCACCTGCAATATTTCAAACTCTGATAGTTACTTGGATAAAAGCTAATTTAAATGTAGTGATATCTACCCAACTTTGGGATCAATTTTTAGAAGTATTATCTTCTTTGACACAATGGGAAGAATTAATTCGTGAATGGGCTAAAACATTGGATACATTAACACGAGTACTTGCAAGGCATGTATATAACTTAGATTTAAATGATCTACCATTAGATAGATTAAGTGAACAAAAAACAAAACGACGGCGTGGAGTTGGAAGTCGTGCTGCATCTATTGGAAGCGTTCAGCCACCGTGTAAAGGAAGTATTGATCAAGAAAGTAATACCACGTCGAAAGAAAATGTAACAGGTACAATTTCAATTGTACATCTTTTTATTATATCCCCATGGGTTTTTATATATAATTATATTGATTTTACAATAGACCATCCACTACCAGATTTAAGAAAAGGACGATTGTTACCACGCAGTGCAAGCGATAATACTATTTATAATGGAAAAGCTCGTACGAAGTTTCAGAGAAGTCGTACCCATACTGTACATACCGGTATTCCTGGTGAGTTTAAAAATAATTCATTATATTGACTGATATTTTATTTTATAAAATTTAAATTTCACGTTCAATCCTCTTAGTAGTGCCATCTATGTTACTTATACTGTGTGCAATTTATTTATAACTTTATACTTTTTATGTTGCTTTACTACTGACACCAGGTTAAAAATAACTATTCTTGTGTCAGACGTTATGCCATTTTATTTGTGTTATCAATAGACATCTTTCACAATAATTGATCACATTTTTATATTCCATATTTCAATATCTATTTATTCATCATTAATTATATCTAAATTCTGTTCCTGAGTTGGGGAGTAGAAGGAAAAAAGAAAATAAAAGTCTATTTAAAATATCAATAACCTTCATAGTGTCTGTGGCTTTCGTATTAAGTGTAAATAATTTCCTCGCGTGCAGTACTTCCCCTATCCATAGAGCAAGATATGGCACGATTACTATCGAGTGGTCCTACATCATCAATAACTGGAAAAATGCTACCAAACAGACGTGCTAAATCATTGGATAGCATTGTCATAGTTGATAGTGAACCACCATCTCCACGTTGTCCCTCTCCAACACCAAGCAGTGGCGTTGACAGCAATAAAGATAGTCCAATACAAATAGAAAACATTGATGGCAGCAGTATTGGTATGTATTTCTTTTTCTTCCCATTATATGTTGTTTACATTAAACATACATTTTTGTTTAATACTTGCACTTTAATATAGTATAGTAAGGTTTTTATTAATTATATTATTAAACTTCTATTTCATCAATCAAAATAGCATTACTACATTCTTTGCATTATTACAAAATAGAAGATTAGATAGAATTATACTGATTTAGATTAATTTAAATAATTCTGCTTCTTACTATGGATTAATTCGTTTATCTTTTTATCCATTATAGGTATAATATTAAAAATGAAAAGAATAAGAAAAATAATATCCATTTGAAATTTTACAGATGCGAATGATATAACAGAAAGAAGATCTGTTATGGCAGGCGGTGGGGTACGAGGATGGTTGCCAGACGTTGCTGTTGTATTATGGAGGCGAATGTTATCTGCTTTGGGAGATGTAAATAATATTCAAGATCCATTATTACACGGTCAAGTTATGGATTATCTTGTACAACTTACGCAAACTCTTATAAAGGTAAACTTTAACTATTTTTTTTATACTTTTCAAAGCTAATGACAAAACAATTATTTTGTACAAATAGATATTTTCATTATTTTTATAGATCCGTTTAAATCAAGGTGTTTCTGGAGACAATCAAGTAACACCTCCCGCTCCAGAACTTATTCCACCATTAACTGTTATTGCCCCATGGTGTTTTAAGGTAAATTTATAATTATAATAACACGTATATAAATATTTCTTTCTCTACGAGTACATGTTCATTAATATAAGCACTTCTTATTTTTTAGGCAATACAATTACCAGCTCAATACGAAGTAGGCAAATTAGCTGCGTATCGCCTTATATGTCTCTTAACTGTTCAACCTTTGGATATAAATTTACCGAAACAGCATTTGAATCTTTTTTATCGTGCCGTTCACAATGGCATTTCTAGTAACAATAGTAAAGTACTCCATGTATTAGTCAAATACACTGGGCCTCGATTATTTAGTTTAAATCTACCTGGTTCTAGTCTTCTTATTTTGGATTATATTCATGCAGCAAATGTAATATTAAGTAGTCAAGATGTTGAGGTACTTTTCACACATATATATATATATTAATATTATTATACATACATATAATATATCGCAGATATACATAATAATTTTTATTTAAGGCACCCAGAACAGAAGCAGTCTCTATCATTGGTTCGCTATTATCATTACCAGCAACCGTAGCTAAATTACCTTTGTTGCAACCAAATGGATCTGATACTTTAACAAAAGTATGCCCTGATGCAAAGGTATTTGAAGTTATTATTAAAATTTTACACAATGGTCGCGTTAAAAATATATATATATATATAATAAATTAAAGATAAATAATTAAATTTATAGGAACATATAGTGAATATTCTTCTGAGAATTTGTAGACGCGAACCAACTGGCATAGCAAGATGTTTAGCCCTTTCCAGTATAGCTATGTTTGTATACAGAGAATTATCTTATAAAAATCGACATCCACGAATTCCAGAGGCTGTTACTGTTCTTCTTCTTGCTCTGAGGGTGAGTTAATAATTTTATTTAATAGTCAAATTGTATGGTGATGAAATAAGTTTATATATAGACTTTAAACTTTATTATTATTATTATTATTATTATTTATGCATGTGCTAAAAGTGGTTATATAGATCTTAGTTGCTTGCAAATGGGTGTTCCAAAAATTGTGCTTTGAATAATAGAAAAGGAAGGAATGTATAATAAACTTATTAATATAATTTTAGTAATATATAAACAATTGATTATAATAGGTATAAGATAATAACATGTAAGTAGATATCTTTTCCATCAAGTTTGATTGACAGAAGATGCAAAGGATCAAGCGGTACAAGACTGGTTTCTATTTTCCTTTAGTAGAACAGGTAGTTCTTTCTTTTTTTTTTTTATCTATGTATGTATATATATAGATAAGAACATACAATTGTGTTCTTATTGTGTGGTGTTCCAGTATTTCTCTGTTGACTAGTGTCTACGTTTTACAGGATGTTGTCATCTTTGCATGGTGTAATGCACACGAACTTTGTATCTTATGTGTTTAGTAGCTGAATATCAAATTTATTTTATAAATACTTGGTAGCTTAATTTGTACATATATATTACTAATGTTTTATGTTTATTATTTGTCCAAAAATAAAATATATATAATAATATTTGTATTATATATTTTTCAGGCTACACATGCGACGGTTGCTCAGGTGGCATGCGATTCACTTTTACTTCTGTGCGATAAGGCAGACATTTTATTAGAGTTGTATCCCAATGTGCCATGCAAAATCACTCACGTATGAATCATTATATCAATTTATATTAATTCGATATAAAAAGAATTTTATTTAATTTTATAATTGTGTATATTTGACAGATCCTTTCAGAAACTCTTGGACGAATGACTGCACGAGAAAGACGTGGTCCATTAACAATATCAATGATATTTTGTCTAGGAGAATGGGCTATGAATTTGGGTCCAACTGTATTATTACGTGTATATCAAGGAGATCCACTTTTAATGACACTATTCACAGTTAGTAACGATATATAATTTTTGTAATATTATTGTATATCTAAGTAATACTTTGTATTTGATTAAAACTGTTTCTATGTGTAATTAGGTTTTAGATAACATAGCACAAAATAAAGGAGGAAAAGATCCACCAAAAACGAACATGTCTCATCAAGATGAAAATGATGATTTTGATCCTGACATCACTTTGGATAATTTAACCGATGAAGTGTGTTCTAAATCTCCTCATCGTGGTAATGTTCATTCAGTTCAACTTGCAGCCAAAATGGTAAACATAGAATTCTATATTTCACCCATTTATATATATATTTTTGTTGTTTAAATATTTATATGATGTATGTAAACAAATTTACGTTTAACAGGTAATGATGCATTTGATTAATCATCTGGGTCATTTTCCAATGGGTATTGGTGCAGCACGTCTTTCTTCATTAGTCGTCGAGTTAGATGATGTACCAGGAATCGAAGGAGATGAACTTTCCTCTGCAATATTTCAAGCACCAAATATACAATTATTAATGCTGTCCAATTCAATTATAATGTCTCTGGTTGAACTAGCTGCACTTGATGCACCTGGAGGAGGAGTTACAGCTGGTTTAACAACAGCTCCTTCTTTAGTTAGAGTTTTGTTACGTGATTTAGCAGGGAAGGCATCTTGGGATAGTTCCATTTTGTATAGTCAACCATTTGTCGACGATGAAGTTCAAACACCTTTTGCAAAATCAGGTATATTTGTTGTATTCATTATTTACGTATTTGTAAACTTTGTATATATTATTTATTTTATTTGTTTGATAAATTTTTTAGTCGATTGGAATATAAAATCTCATAAGGAAGAATTAAATAGTGTTATAACACAACAAAGTTGTGTTTCAAGACACACGATAAGGCATCGTGAGCCTCATATTTTACCAACATTTGCAAATGGTGCTAGCGATATGGATAATTTAGATGATGTAAGTATACACATAACTATTGTATTTCATTTATATTTTTTATTTAATAATATAACGAAACAAATTTTATAACTGAAGTACCTCGAATGTTTAGCTTCTTCAATACATAGGACATACAAGTCCTGAAGTTCTATGTAATCCGGAGATAGCATTAAATGCGCCAGCTAATCCACCACATGGATTGTACCTTGAAAGTGAAACTATTGCAACTATTTTAAATCAAAGAAATGCAGAGCAAGAACATCTTAATAATTGGAGCCAACATATTAGGTTATTAAATTTATTATATATTATATATTTATTAAATAATATTGATTAGACTAACTTTTTATGTATATGTTCCTTTAGCATGTGTGCAACACCAATTAATCCACCATTGTGCCGTCAACCACCAGCACCATTTCATCACTGCCGGCTACTGTTTTCTCATTTGGGTTTGTCTGGTTGGGAACAACGCAGAAAATTACATTTGCTTACTAAGAATGAAAAACTTTTACGTGAATTACGGAATCTTGATGGTCAACGTTCTAGAGAGACGCATAAGATTGCAGTAATTTATGTTAGTCAAGGACAAGAAGATAAAAACTCAATATTAAGCAATGTCACGGCTAGCAAGGAGTATGAAAATTTTGTAGCCAGATTAGCTTGGGAAGTTGAACTTGAATCGCATACAGGCTTTCTTGGTGGTCTTGTACCTGGAAAAGCATCTGGTGTAACAGCACCTTATTTTGCAACATCTTTTACTGAAGTACTCTTTCATGTAGCAACAAGAATGCCATCCGATAGTACAGAAAGTTTATTACAAAAGGTATGTCATATTATCTATATATATATCATCACATAAAAAGTATTTATCATTAATTAAAAATATATATTGATGTTGCATTTTTTAAAATAAATTTATTTTTAGACACGACATCTCGGGAATGATGAAGTCCATATTGTTTGGTCAGAACATTGGAGAGATTATCGTAGAGATATCATACCAACAGAATTTTGTGATGTTTTAATAGTTATTTATCCACTGCACAATAAATTATATAGAATACAAATATCTAGAAAACCGGAAATTCCATTTTTTGGTCCACTATTCGATGAATGTATTGTTGAAGATAAAGTTCTTCCTGGTCTGGTTAGAACAACAGCATTGGCTGCAAGCAGAGCTAAGAGATCTACTCTTACATTATATCAACATTAGTATGTTTATTATTAATAATACATTATATCTTATAAAAACATCTGTACAATATAATATAAAAATAATTCGATATATTTCAGTTACGAAGAACGTGCAAGATCTATCGACACTGTTATGAGAAATCATAAAGAATCAACAACTTTTGAAGAGTTCACAGCTAATGTTTATTCTCCGGTACAACCAGCAAGTCCATTCAGTGGAACGTCTTCTGTGTCTGGTTAGTTTTTATTTTATTGCAAAGAAAAATGATTATATTTGTCTTTTATTATTTTTATTATTATTAATAATATTGTGTGATATAGTTTTGAGTAAAAGAACAAAAAGATTAAGTTCATATTGGTATCATCACTCTCAACAGCATGACAAACAATTTTTATTTATTTTGAATTTATTATTATTATTAATATCATACTATCAGGATCTACAACAAGCGTGCAATCCACAGCGTCGTCAAACCTAGCAGCAGCGCTTATAGATTCCCATCAAGGTCGTTCTGGTCTGCGCAGTACTTCAGCAACAAGCAATGATATTCGTGCAAATAGAGGTGACTAATTCAGTCCACTAACCCCCATCCACCTTGTAACACCATCCAACAAGGTAGTATTATTAGTTAAATATTATTTCTGTGCTGTCTTCCAGTGTTAATATCAAACGATTATCTGATATCCCTTTTATCTGATTTTATTATATGTCATCTGTATCTATTTCTCTCTTTCTCTTTTTATTATACTTTATTTCTAATCATATATAAATACTCTATATTCGTATTTATATACTTTAATAAGTTATACGCATTTTCGTTCTCTTATGATCATTTTGATTTAATTATATATAACTTCATTATCATTTTAAATTTTATTCATTCGTTTATATTTCTTTCCTCATTTATCTTTTTATTATATTTTTTTTAATTTTTATTTAAATGTAATATTGTAATAGATAAAACTGTAAAAAATAGTAAATCTATTAATATTCATTGTAGCTTCTGACGGAAGCAGAGTATGGTTCAGTGCTGATGCTCAGGATACAAATACTGCTTTGCATGGAATTTCACCAAGACCTGTTAAAAAGATGTCTTTCAAAAGTGGGCCAAAGCAGAGAACAAATACACAGCCTACACCGCCGGATAGTCCAAGATACAAATAAACTGAGACATTAATTTTCTAATAAGAATGTTTGCACAAAGAAGAAACAAAACAAATTGGTGGTTTAGGTATGCCTTTTAATTTCTATTATATTCCTGATGGGAATCTTTAAATTAATCTAGTTAATAGACAGTAATATATATATATAGAATGGTGTCTTTTAATAACAAGAGAAAAATGTAACACTTAATATACTTACACTAAACTCTCAAATATTTGATTTAAAGGGAATTGAACATCTTGATGAATAGGTTTAGTGTTTTCTGTTTTCCGTCCTTAGGTTTAATTTTCATACAATAGTTGTACAGCTGATTATTATTACTTATTTGTTGCTATATCAAAATATTAATTTATTACAATATAATTTCATATAAAAGTATATTGTATATCACATAGATACATATATATATATTACAATAAGTATATATTTTCTTTATAACACTTACCAGCTTCAAATACGAACTGGAATGATTGTACAGCAATTTTCACAAATTTATTTGATTGATTATTTGAAATAAGAAAGTTATATAAATTACACATACGTATTGAGTGAACATGTTTTCATACGTTATAGAAATCTTTTATTGCATTTCAAGTAATAATAATTATATTAATATTAATAATAATAATAATAATAATAATAATAGAATACTTGAAGAAATCTAACATGACAATATGTAGTTTTGCAATAATCATTTCTTTCAAATCTTACAAAAAAGTGTTATAAATAAATAATATAATTTTATTTAAGAAAAGAAAAAAAAAAAAGAAAAAAAAATAATATATATTGTAAAAGTATATAAAAGCAAAAGTTGTAATCGTAAGTTACGATTATGTTGCAACGTTGTAATTATGAAATATTTATAGATTTTTTTTTTCCAAAGTAGTATTCTGGAAAAGTTAATTATTATTTTTTCAACAATTTACTCGAAACAACTTGTACATTCCACAAATACGTTTTTCTCTTTTTCGCAATTTCTATTTTCATATGCATTTTGAATTTAAACACGCTCTTAAATATTGCATTCCAATTACTTTTTCTACGGTTTGATAATATTGAATTAACTTTTCTTTTTTTATGTACTTGAAATACATTTTTTAGAAAATTATTGTCTATAATATAATAGAGCAAAAGTGTTGGTAGTATGAAAAGCTGTTTACTAAATATATTTTTTTTCATACCAAAGTCCAGAGGTGCTTAATTTTTGTAATGTCGAATCACATGTAAGTACTTCTATGTATAAATTCAAATGAAAAAAATATATAGTAGAAAGAAATCATAAAAAAAAACAAAATATTGACTAAACAAATAATAATAATAATGAAGTCAACATTTATCAAATAAGTAATTGCTTAATATATTATAATATTAACTTAGTGATAATATTTAAAAGTATTAATGCTATTTCACAATGCTATTAATTAATAAATAATAAAATAACGAAAAGAAAGAAAACAAAAAGAAATGATGAATTATTAAAGTAATTAGATTACGCTACGATAAGTGTCCGATATCTTTGTTTGCGTATAAAGATACTTTTGAAATTTGTGCAGTTAGAAGAATTGAGACTTTCTGCGTGTGATTAGAATTTTTTGAACATTTAAGAAAAATCTAGTAAAAAAAAAAAAAGGAATACACACACACACACACATTCAAAATTGTAGACATTAGCGAATGAAAATTTAGGTAATAATTACCAATGGATAGATCATGGCCAAAGCAGCATTATTTTTTCACTAATTTATATTGAGAAAGAATGAAAAGAGGAATGTATGTATTGTACATAAATTGTGCTAAGCAGATAGATAGAGATGGTGGTGGAGTTATTTGATCAAATAATTCATTATTATGAGATGTATTATTATTAAAATGTATTATTAATCTGATCTATAATACGTACATGCACTCTCTCACATGTGCAAACACTACACACACATACACAAGATTGAAATTGTTTATTATTGATAATTCAAATTACTATTGTGAATTGTATTTGTATATTGTACTTAATTGTTCTATAATTAATGTTACTGATTACTATATGCTATAATTTTGGTTATATTATTGTTATAAGATTTTACGTTTATATGTATGTATAAATATATATATGTATAAGCTGATCTTATGACAAAGGTATAAACAAAAAAGATATAAATGCATATAGAAATATGAGAAAGTTCTTTAACTTTTTTTTTCTTTTTATATATATACAAATATTACAAATTCTAATTACATCTACACATACGCTTAAGAATATTTACTTATGTTACTGTTTTATGCAGGATATATATGTATGTATACATGCTTTATATATATATATATATGCAAAATGTTTTATATGTATTATAAAACAATTTAATATTTGTTCTTATTCTTCTTCTTTTTTTCGTATTACAAAAATAAAAAGAAAGGTTTATGTTGCTTATTAAATAAAATATATATTGCAAATATTCGTTTGCACGATTGAACACTATTATATAAAATGTAAAATATTCTAATAATAATTCTAACACATTGATTATTTTGTACGGTTAACATAATTAAATATATTTAACTTAACAGTCTTTACATACACACATACATATTATTCTGTAAAGAGTATGAATATATTGTACTCGTAATACAATTGATCTGAGGAATATAAAGCGCTGATTGGACCTGTTATAAACACATGATATTTAAAAAATTTGCAAAAACATAAAAAAATATTTTATTGTAATGAAAACTTGTTATACCCAAAGATTTTTTCTCATAGTGTTAATTATATATCTCTGTATTTGACTGTATGTCTTGCAGCACAATAAAATTGTGATGATTCTATCTTGAGTATGGACGAACGTACTCGTGAAATCATTTTTTTCAGACACTTTTTTAATTGATTTAATTGATCTTATTGTCGATTATATTATTTGTAGATACATCTAATAAATTAAACTATGTTAAATAATTATGTCGGTAAAACAGGTTAAGGTAGGTTGATGATTTACCGACACAGCTCTATATTTGCAGTCGATAATTTACCGATACAGCTACATAACCTCCGTTGATAAACTACCGACACTGTTCTGCTATCGCGGTCGATAACTTACCGATACATTTCTGTTATTGTTGTCGATAATTTACCGACACAGCTCTGTTACCGCGGTCGATAATAAAGTACAATAGTTTTTCTCAATGATAACGTAGAAAGTTTACCTCACATATCATCGATGTATTGATCGTTCAACAGGTGACAGTGCCAACAAGAGGAGGGCAAAAAAAGAAAAAGAAATAATTTTTAGAAAAGCTTGGTAGCAGCTTGAATCGCATTCGGGAACATAACGTCGTTATAAATGGATTATCATTTGATCCTCTAGTACACATTGTTTGAAGAATGTGAAAAGAATTATTCATCACGAGTGTTCAGTTGTGTAAGCAATTCTTTGTATGTATTGCATTGATAAAACAAATGACGAAAAATGAAAAAATAAATGTTCATTTAATAATCGACAAAAAAAGTAACGATACAGTGAAATTTTATAGCAACGTGCATCCAATAATATATTGATCGCTAAGTCATATTCAAAGTTTAAAATTAGTTTTAAACCTGTAAGAAGAATGAAACGTATCCACGTGTAGAAAAAAGAGGTTAGTTTTTATTGCATATAATATCAAATTATCTTCGTGTTACTATACACACATATATATTCTGTATAAATGTGTTAGAAATAAACGCATTCGCGAATAAACTACGTTACAACGTTGTACCTTCTGTTTGTTATATTTTTTATATTTTTATTATAGCATACGTATAATATTCGATATTTTAAAATACATAATAATTAATTAGAAAGATTTTATTTTAATACGTTTATTTTTAACGAATAAAATTCAATTAACGTGCTTTTCCTGAAATTGCATTGAAATGTCACGTAGACACTTTTGGCGCGCTATATATATAACCATTAATTTTTATTTTTTTTCGATCGTTTCTATACATTCTCGTAATAATTATCGAATTTTTTGTTATCATAATTAAAGAATTCTTATTACAAATATATAATTTGTAAAAATTATATGAAATATTTCGTTTTAAATGCACGGATTACGTCATACCAATAAATTTTGAAAATATTCTTACGAAGTATTCAACAATCGATAAAAAAGAAAATCGATTAATTAATTTTCACGTAATAATAATATCGATATAATTATTCGATATCATCGTATACTTTCATATATACGAAATAAATAAATAAATAAATGAAAAATTGCATAATATCATAAATATAGTTATTAATAAAATAAAATATATTATATATTGCGATATATTTTGTTGATAAGATAAGAGAATAAAGTAAATATATATGTATATAAGTATAGAATCGTGTCATTGTATAGTTTCACATTTCTTTTTTTGCTTAAGTATTCAAAGATTATTTCAAAATTCACGTATTATTACATCATTTCGAATAAATAACTATTATTAATTATCTTAAATATATTATACGTTTTAATTTTGGAATATCTGATTTAGTTAGAAAATTAGGACACGATGATCCTAAAAGATATTGCAATAGATAACGAAGTGCATCCAATTATACTTATCATAGTAAATATATATATATATATATATATATATATATATATATGTGTAGTTTTGTTAGTTACATTTAACGAAAGTTTCCATAGATAACTTTAAATAAAATAGTTCAAGTATCTTTTAACCTTTTAATAACCCAAAGTGCATACATACATTCTAAGTGCATAAGGAAATAAAATGGAACAAAAATGATTAATTTAAAAAGCCATAGTAAATAAACACATTTGCTTGCATTTCGATTTCGTTATAATCATTGAATAAATATTTTCTTAATTACATTTGTTTTTATTTTGTTTAATTAACGCTTATCAATTCTTAATATAAATCATTCGAATAAACAAACGAAGAGTTTAAACGAGAACATCGTTGGATGATTATAAATCTTACTTATCGAAAAATTCCAACAATATATCTTTTCATGTGTATTTTATATTTTTTTTTTTGTTCTCAGATAATTTCCTTTTAAAATCATTTTGTTTAAACATCGTTTCAAACGTTTCTTAGCGATCAATGCAATCTATTATCATTCGTGTAATTTATTTTTTCTTAGAATATATACGGTGTGCGTAACCTTGAAACATTACTGTGAAATTAAAAAGTACATTTTCCTTTGGTTAGTGTAATGTGAATCAGTTTAAACGAACAGAATATGCATACAAACATATTATATCGGATGTTACAACAACAAAAGAAAGAATAATAATAATAATACCATTTAAACAAAGCTCTAATGAGAAATATGAAACAATAACGTCATTCTACAATCATCTTTAAACTTGATATTAGATTAATCGTAATCAATGAGGAATAGTAGATATAATCGATTGATTTTTATATATATATAACGATAGTTAATATAAAAAATTCATTAAAATGTTACGTCGTAATCTCTCATTGTTTTTTTCTTTCCTTATTTTTTATTCCTTATTTTTATTACGAATTCCAAGCGCGAGGTATTTAAAAAGAAAAAAAAAAAACACCGATAAGTCTCGTAGTTGATTTAAACCAACTCTCATTTCGAGAGAGTATCTTTTATTTATCCTTGTTCCATTTTCTACGTCCTTCTTACGTTTTATTTTTTTAACGAACTTGAATCCGATTATTTGACATTCAATCAATTATTGACCACTATTCTTAGAAACAAATTATTACTAATGAAATTTGTGTATGTAAATCTCGTTCAAACGTTACTGTTAGCTTATAGTATTAGTATTTGTTATGATAATGATCTTAAGAAATAAAGAAGGAAAGATTATGTAAGATTTTGTTAGCTTATAGACATATATATATTCAACAGTATTGTATCCAATGTTCAAGATAAAATTTGTTTAATTTTATGTTAAATTTTTATATTGTACGAATATATATATATATATTTATACGTTTCAAATTATTGATTATGTTCTTTATAGCATCGGGATGAAATCAATCGATAAAAATAACATTGCGTAAACGAAAGCAACGTGAGAAAGGATTTTAAAATATGTTCCCGCGTAAATATAGATTTCAAATATGGCGGGCACACCCGCGCCTTTTTTGATTGAGACTACGTGAGACACGTACGATTCCGAAAACATTTATCACGTCATTTTTGTTTATGCATATGCAGCATTTCTAATTATATCCAAATACATACAATAATTATATATAACAATATATTATTCTTATTATTAATTAAACAACGTTAAAATGTATTTAAATAATACGTACATTTGATAACGTAGTACTTCCGTGACATGTAGCATTTTAACTAATACGTATTGTGTTTGTTCGTAATACTATTTAAATATATTATTCATTTATTTATTAAATTATTTAATCAATTATGCATTACAGATAATTCCAAAAGAACATTCTTCGATCGAAGAAATATAATAAAGGATTTTTAATAGTGCAACAAAAGTTTAATTATACAAAGAACAGTTTGATCAATTGTATTGTCGTCTTACAAAAAGAAAAATGACACTCTTCCGGAAGTACAATGGTAAGCAATCTTCAATACAAATTAATATTAATGAAAGAGAAGATACTATTCCTAAGATATACGATATAAGTAATTAATTATTAATTATTATTACTCCTGAGAGAGAGAGAGAGAGTGATATATATTTATAATTTATCATTCTGTCTATGAAAATGATATCTGACGTAAATAGGTTTTATTTATAGAGAGAACAAGTCTACGTGTCTAATATCTTTTCGTTTGAATAAAATTTGAATAAAAATGTAAAAGTATCATAAATAATTTAAATCTGTTTCGAAAAAACAATGAATTAATTTTATATCACGACAATATGAGAATACATTATATCCAGAATGTTTTATAATTATATTTGTATTATGTTTTTTTAATACAAAACTTTAAATATCTTCAAGTAGATTCATATGTACATTATATATTTTTTATATTTAATTATTTTTTTTGAGGGAAGGTGTTTTCTATTTCATTTCATTTACATTCGAATCATTTGTAATTCGAATTTATTTTATAAAGAATATATACACGCAAGTATACTTTAATAAAAATAGATAGGAAGGAATGTATATTGTATAAATGTGTGTCAGTCAAGGTCATCTAATAAAAATAGACCCAATTTTTATTTTGTCTTCTTTCTTTTGTATGTTTACATGGAAAATTATTCGCAATATTTTTTAATAGATAAGAACCAAAAAAGAAAAGAAAAAACAAGCAAACATTTTAATTTTAGTAAGAGATAAACAACTACATTATGTCATAATACGCGTTACATAAAGGTCTGCATGTTATCAACAAAATTGTTGTTTTGTTAAAACATTTATGGCTGACACAATTAGGATTAATAATATTTTATATATTAAAATTAAATGTATTAATATATATCATTCGATCAATATTATTACTTTATTCTATATAATATATAAATAAATAAATATATTTGATTAATTATCTTTATAAAGAACATCTCGAGTATCTAATATCATTTATATCAAAATTATCTAAAATAATTGACTGTCAACAATTGTATTTGTAAATTATATATTCATTGTTATATTTTATTTTACAGAAAAAATACCACGCAGAGGTATCCTCGGTGCTATGATGTTTCTAGCTTGTATGTTCTCATACGTGATACGCACAAATTTATCTATTACTATCGTTGCTATGGTAAATGCGACAAGTAAATCTGGAAAGAGTGGTCCTGTTTGTATCGAAACTTCTCTTACAAGTAATAAGACTGTCGAGCTGAAAGATGTAATATCCTTTAAAACTAATATTACTTTTGATTTTATATATCTAGCAGATTAATATATCATATATAAATGATTTATATTTTAATGAATTTTAGTACGGTGAACGTTATGAATGGAATCAACATATACAAGGTCTTTTACTTTCTGGATATTTCTATGGTGTTTTGCCAGCTAGCATACCGGCTGGACTTTTAGCAGAAAAATACGGTGGTTCCAAAGTTGTAGCGTAAGTTACATTATTGTTATTTTTCTTTTTGTATCTATATTACATTGGTTAACTTTTTTAATTAAATTTTCACGTATTACTATTATTATCAGATTCGCCACGTTAATTCCTGCAGTATTAAATCTTCTGATGCCATGGGCTTCTAGTATTCATTATGGCTTTGTTTTCGTGCTTCGTTTTATGATGGGATTTTTTGGTGTAAGTTTGTTTTTTTTTTTTAACAATCAATATTATTAATCATAATGCATTTCCTATCTGTATACTTTGTGTGATTATTAACACTCTCAAAAGTATTCTATTTAATCTCATAACACTTTACATTATCTCCCGGTATACCATATCAATTCTAATAGCTAACACTTAATAATATATGATAAGCCAATTAATTTTCTATTATAGGGTGCTGTTTATCCAGCTCTTCATGCGATGATAGCAAGATGGGTACCACCTAGCGAGAAGGGAATGTTTGTTTGGACTATGCAAGGTTATATTCCAATCATTTCAATGTTAATAAAACAAAGAATTAAATTATATATACAAATTTGTAACAACTATGGAATTTGTTTTCTAGGTGGACCTTTTGGTACAGTTGTAACATTTTCTTTATGTGGACAAGTGATCAGTGCTTTTGGTTGGAAAGCAGCTTACTACGTTACCAGTGGACTTATGTTAATTTTTTATGCACTCTGGGTCTACCTCATATATGACACGCCTGATGTTCATCCAGGAATCACTCCGAAAGAAAAAGCGTATATAAAAGAACAAATAGGGACTACTATATCGAAACAAAAGAACCCACTTCCTGTTAAATCTGTTGCCACGTCTCTACCATTCTTAGTTTTATTATGGTCACATTTCGCAAATATGTGGGGAATATATTTCATCGCAACCAACGGTCCAAAGTATACTTTGGAAGTACTTGGATTCAACATGAAATCGGTTGGCTTTTTATTTTTATCGTTAATCACAAATATATCTTTATTTAAATTTCATTAAGTTTTATATTAATCATAAAATGTTTTATTTTCAGGGTGGATTTCTTACAGGCTTACCTTACATAGCCAGATTAGGTGCTGGAGTATTGTTTGCTGCTTTGGGTGATTATATCAGAAGAAAAAATATTTTAACTTTAGGATGGATTCGTAACATATTTATGCTCTCTTGTGAGTATCATATAATATTACATTTTTTTTATTTAGATTGTTCTTTTAATACATTCGTATATATATATATATATATACGTTTATTTATTTAAACAAAAATAAAAAATCTTTTTATTTATTAGCACACGTGGGTCCAGCTATTACGTTACTCGTTATGACATATGCTGGATGCGACTCAACAACAGCGATAGTAATGTTAATCTTAGCATTAACTTTCAACGGTGCTGCATGTCAAACTAATTTAGTTAATCATCAAGATCTTGCGCCAAACTTTGCCGGTTCTTTATACGGTGTTATGAATACTTTTGGTAGCTTTCCTGGATTTATTATTCCACCAATTATCGGCGCTTTAACTAATGAAAGAGTAAGTCTACACAGTAATTGAGAAATCTATTTATAAATATATTATATTTGAGACAATTTTGTTAATATTTTATTATTTTGTAGAATGGAATAGAAGAATGGCGTATTATGTTCTGGATATCGGCAGGAGTATTTATCTCGGCAACAGTTTTGTTCTGGATATTTGGATCTGCTCAAACACAACCGTGGAACGATTTGAGCCATGTCAAACCTACAGAAATATCGGAAGAAGAGAAGCAAATGACTGTAATGGAATTACCAATGAAAGAATTACAGACTGAGAATAATTCTGAGAGTGAACGTCTTTAGGATGTATTACGATTTACAATCTAGTGTGGATTATTAGATTACATTTTTATTAGGGAAAATAATTTTAAGTTCTCATTTTATATCTCATTCTCTGACGTCTGTCATGATGCACAATTTACATATACATATGTATAACTTCATTCATTATAATTCATATTTAATTTACATTCATTATTAATTAAGTATTTCATCTCAATGAGAATATCTTAATAAGGGATTTACTTTTACTACCAGAATTTCGACTTTTATATTTTATCTGACCAAAAATATAGATTTTATACATCGATTTTGATATATATACAGGATGTCTCACATAACTCCAGTCAAGATTTTTCAAGTACTTGCGATAACCTGACAAAAAAATACTTTAAACAAAAGTTGATTGATTATCGCAAGTACTTGAAAAATCGTGACTAGAGTTATGTGGGATACCCTGTATATATATAACATTATATATATATAAAACTATAACTAAGTACTATAAGTATGCTTATTTATAAGTATTTACAAAGTAATATTTTCTTATTGATTTACAAGTAATAATGATTTTCGAGCTATTTAATGAATACCAAAAATGAAAAATTTTTAATATTATTTTTTACCCATGCTTTTTTAATCCAATATTATATAAATCGGAGAATATTTGTGACCTGTTGCAGAAGTTACTATACTATATATCTTATTGACTTGTATTTTATAATTTAACAATTGCTAGAAAACTTTTCAAAACTGCATTCTGTATATCTTAAAAAAAGAAAACGATACTAGCAATAATGTATTTTATAATAGATTTGATGTGTTTATCATAAACAATTGTTAACAAACATGTGTTATCATAAATAATCGAAACATCTGTAATTTAATTTTTGCTTGAATCATTCTACTTGCATATAATATATGTAATACTCAAGAAAAAACATGATGAAAATTATAAACAAAAATCTAATACTGCCCACATAAAATACAAAACTTGTTGTTGCAATGTACAGTTTCCTCAATAATTACAAAATGTTACTTTACACTATAAATTAAAAGAAACGAAGTTGTAACAATTTAAATAATCTATTGTAACATTTTCTTAGATAACTACGATCGAATATATGAATGAAAATACATCTTATGTATATACATGATAAATTGTAATAATTTATTTAATAAATAAGCATTCCTTCTAACTTTTATTGATTTTTTTATTATTCCCATGAGTCTATAGAATATTTTTACACTGAAATGTTTATAATTTTATATCGGGTGAGTAATTTAAATGTTACTTTCAAAATCACATAAGTTTTGACTTCTTCAATTTCCAATAGAAATCGAGGTTTTCTTGTGGTCCGTTTGAAATATCTCACCCGATATAAATGTCTAAAATTAGTCAATCTCTTGTCGCAAAATGTTCGAAAATGTAAGCGGAACACATGATGATGCAGGAAGTAATCAAAGTTAGTTCATGTTCTAACCGCTAGATGGCAGTAGTGCACTGGTTTGAACGTGTAATATATATAGATATATATATACGTGTTTAATATATGAAAATTTAAATAATTTATTTCTCAATAATTACAAATATTCTATGAACTTTTATGGTCTTATATTGTTTATAAAAATCTATAGAATATGTCGAACATCTAAATGTTTACAATTTATGTCTAGAAATACATTAAATTAATTTTTTAATAAGTGACCAATATCTATAATGTTGGGCGTCTATTAAAATTTGATAGGTTAATAAGCAACCAATGAGCGTTCTAGTTATAAGACCGCCCATATTCTCGCGTACACCTCTTGTACTTCCTTTATCATCATGCTTTCCTGTTACAATTCTCTCATTTTTGCGCCGAGAGAAACCGATTTTAATCCCCTTATACCGGGTGAGTAATTTCAAAATGACTATCAGAAAATCTACATTTCTATTGGAAATTGGAAAAAACGTCAAAATTTTGATTCGAGGGTGGTGTTTAAATTTCTCTCATAGTATATATAAGTATAGTGAACGTATTGATAAATGCATTAATTAATAAATTAGATATTTTTTATAAATTTGTATGGACTTATATTATTTCTAAGAGTCTACAATGTAAATGTTTATAATTTGTTTTTAACAATTAAAAAAGTTATATTTGTCATCGAAATTTTACTTTACTTCAGATATATTTAAATAAAATAAGCTAATGCCAGAATATATTTTTAAAATAATTATTTATTAATAAATAATAACATTAAATGTATATTATACAATTTAACTATGTGTGTGTGTGTGTGTGTGGTAAAGAGAAAATAATACGAATTATAATTAATTAAAAATATTATGCATTTGATTATTGCAGAATGTAAAATATATAATCAAATTAGAACATATTGCATATATCCTATAATACGTACTACTTTAATTATTTAATCTATCAATGTATTCCCTATATCTAAGAGAAATCATAATCTGATTTTTTAAGAATTACAACAGATTCTCCTTTTAATATTTGGACAAGATATTAATTTTTTAATTCTTTAATAAATTACCATCAGATGTTATTTGTATTTAATTATTAAATGATTCCACCAGATGGCATGATGGTGCCTTTCTTTTTCCACTTCTAAATTATAATCCAGCGCCATTTTATATCTCCATCTTAACTTGATAGCCTATTTTTATAAACCGGTGATTGTAGTAAAGATATTTCAGTATAGTTTAATTGGAATTAAATAATTATAGAATTTAATTATTAATCAATAAAATGGCGCAAAATAAATTGAATGATTTTATGTCAAGATTCAATAAAACTCCTAGTAGTTTATCTCTAGGATTCAAGGTTCTTGCTGCAGCCGGCGTAGCAGCTTATGGAGTAGCTAAATCTATGTACACAGGTGTGATTTCATTTAAATGTTACTTATATTATGTGTCAATATATCTTTTACAATTATTGTATTTTAAGATAGTAGAAAAAAAAAATTATTAAAACAATAATTATTTTTCTTTTTACAGTTGACGCTGGTCATAGAGCAATTATATTTTCTCGTATTAATGGCATCCAAAGAGATATCTTTCCTGAGGGTTTACACTTTCGTATTCCATGGTTTCACTATCCTATAATATATGATATTAGAAGTAAGCCAAGAAAAATTTCTTCGCCTACTGGATCTAAGGATTTACAAATGGTTAATATATCTCTTAGAGTTCTATCACGACCTGATGCAACTGCGTTACCAACTATGTACCGTCAATTAGGTCTTGATTATGATGAAAAGGTAAACAATTGAATTAAACTATTTGTAATATTTGTTTATTATATAATGAAAGATCTTGTTAAATAATTGTAAATGCATTTACAGGTATTACCAAGTATATGCAACGAAGTGCTTAAATCAGTCGTTGCTAAATTTAATGCATCTCAACTTATAACTCAAAGACAACAAGTTTCTATTTTAGTACGTAAAGAATTGACGGAACGTGCTCGCGATTTTAATATTGTGTTAGATGATGTTTCAATAACAGAACTCAGTTTTGGTAAAGAATATACTGCTGCAGTGGAAGCCAAACAAGTTGCCCAACAAGAAGCTCAAAGGGCTGCATTTGTAGTAGAACACGCTAAACAGGAGAGACAACAAAAAATTGTACAGGCGGAAGGAGAAGCGGAAGCAGCTAAAATGATATCCTTTTACAACGATAATATATATTTATAATCAATATTCTATATCTAATGAAATGATCCTTAACTCCTTTGCACCTTGGTCTAGCCTTAAGCCAAAATCCAGGATATTTGAAGCTTCGTAAGATACGTGCATCTCGACGAATTGCTCGCACGGTAAATAATTAATTATATAAATATATATAAATGTTAGAAAAGACAAATTTTAATTATGATATATATATTAATGAAATTAAAAATAATTTGTAGATCGCCCAATCTCAAAACAAAGTGTACCTAAGTGGAAACAGTCTTATGCTGAACATTCAAGATCCATCATTCGATGACTCATCGGATAAATTAAAAAGTAAGAAGTAAAGGGAACAAATTATGTTGAGCTTACTTTTTTCATTTTTTTCATTATATTTTTAATATTGCTTATAAATATGTTATACTTCTATGTATATATCTAGTAAAAAGCACGATATGTATCTTATTGTTCTAACTATAGATACAGATATTGTCAATAAGACTTAAGATAATCATCATCTTGTTCTCTCTCTTTACAATCTTCATGTCCTTTTTATCCTATATTGCAACAAGGCTCGCTCGCAAAGCTCGAGGTAAACTGTTTTCAGGTAGCGACCGTTTGAACCGGAGCAGTTGGAATGAATCAACACAGCATGCGGTTACTGTCTTAAAATCTGGTCCCCAAGCAGTAAAAAATGCAGATAAATCTTACATCGAGAATACACCAACAAATCCTGAAGATTCCATTTCTCTTGTATTGGATTCGGCAGATGATGGTGCTAAAATGATAGTTTCTTAAATGTACATTTCACATTTCAAAACATTTCAAAGAGTTTGCGTAGCGAGCTTCTAACAAATAATATCAAATTTTTATACATTATATGTCGCGTTATTAGTTTATTATTTTATATACTGTTATATAGAATTTTATTATATCCTTATTTCAAAATCCAAGTAAAATATTTTCGAATAAATAACAAAATATATGTGAACGAACTAATAATTTATCAAAACAATGATGTAAAATAAAAGTAAATAATATTGTAACTACAAATTTCTTTCTATATAAACGATAAAATCGATGATTTATATTTTAAATCATGTTTGCTAGATTCTTGTTCTTTTTCTTAATACTTATCAGAGTTTGAGAATATGTTAGATACAACTCTCATAATCAATTGTAAATGTTAAAAGGTTTGCATCAGCTGCTGCTACAGATAATAAAAATTTAATTTCTTGTCCAATTGGATACTAAAAATATTGATGAGAGAGTTTTTGCAAAAATTATGTAAAAAAAAACATATAATAAATATTAATAAAAGATACAAAAGAAAATGTTTTTATTATCATTCATAAATTTGTGATAATATATAGACGTAACTGTGGCGTTAGTGCAGTAGTATACGTCATATATATATATATACCATCTGCCTTGACCACTACTAAAAAAGTATTTAAAGATCTGTTGATTTTTTATAATACATTGTCCTCTAATATATAAATAAATATTTTCCTTCTCATTATTTCTAATTGAATGGTTCATTATTCAAGGTTCGTATATCGTTGATAATAAATTAATTAAAAAATATCTAATTGTGCACATATAAAGTTAACCTTTAAAAAAAATAATTTCAACTGATAAGGCTTATAAATAACATGAATTCTTCAAAGCTAATCGGGAAAATAGTTACTTCAATATCTCGTAAGAATTGAATTATTACAGATTTATAATATATCTTTTAAATGTTATCTATACAGATGGGTGAAGATAAGCCAACAGAAGTCGCAGCTGGGTACGTTAACATTTTTTATAATTGCATCATTATTTTTAACTTTAATTAATATAAATTATTATTTATTTATTATACAGAGAAGAATTATCTAAGAAAGCTCTTAAGAAACAACAGAAGGAAGCTGAGAAAGCAGCAAAAAAAGCTGAACGTAAAGCTCAAGTTGTAAGTATGCGATCAATGTGTGTTTATTGTTGTTGTTGTGTTATAATTTTATAAATTAATTAACATATTTTTCTTATAAAATAGCAAATGCAACAAGATGCAGTAGAACAAGAGGATGTATCGGTTGGCAAATATGGACAATTAACTATGATACAAAGCGATGAAGCGCATAAGGAAAGAAATTTTGTTCATGTGAAGGAATTAAATAAAAAATTCGAAAATCAAACTATATGGTTAAGAGGCCGCTTGCATACAAGTAGAGCTAAAGGTATATTTTTCTATAAAATAGATTTTATATTCCAATATAATATAATAGTATATATATATATATAATATTTTATATAAACTTTTAGGCAAGCAATGTTTTATTGTATTAAGACAGCAGTCTTATACAGTACAAGGATTAGCTGCGGTGAATGAACAAATTAGCAAACAAATGATTAAATTTATATCAAAGTAAGTTTTAATAAAAACTATTAAATTAGTTATCTAATATGATACATATAATATCTGTTTTATAGTATAACAAAGGAATCTATAATAGATGTTGAAGCTATTATAAAAACAGTACCCGCTGTGATTGAATCTTGTACACAAAAAGATGTAGAAGTACACATCCAAAGAATTTTTGTAGTAAGTGCTGCAAAACCGCAGTTACCACTTCAAATTGAAGATGCTGCTAGAGTCGTTAATGAATTTGACGATACAGGATTGAATATAAAAGTTAATCAAGATACCAGATTAGACAATAGAATTTTGGATTTACGTACTCCTGCTAATCAAGCTATATTTAGAGTGGAAGCTGCAGTATGTAAACTTTTTCGAGATATTTTAACAGCCAAGGTAATTATTTTCTACTTCCACCAATATATATATGTATATGATTGTCTATATAATAAATTTAAATGTAACTAATACCAAAATATGTTATAGGGTTTTGTTGAAATACATACACCTAAAATTATTTCTGCAGCTAGTGAAGGTGGTGCAAATGTATTTACTGTATCCTATTTTAAAGGAAATGCATATTTAGCTCAATCACCACAACTTTACAAACAAATGGCTATAGCAGCAGACTTTGATAAAGTTTTTACCGTTGGTGCAGGTAAATAATAATGACAAAATCTTTAAATACAAATTATTTTCTAAACGTAAAGTAATTTAAATCATTAATAATAAAATAACGAATTTTTATAAATGACGTTTATAGTTTTTAGAGCCGAGGATTCTAATACTTATAGACACTTGACAGAATTTGTTGGTCTTGATTTAGAAATGGCATTTAAATATCATTATCATGAAGTTGTTGATACCATTGGTCAAATGTTTACAGAATTATTCAAAGGCTTGCGCGACAAGTTAGTATTGAATTTAAAAAAATATCAAAATATATTTATACAATAATTAACAAACATCAATCTTTAGTTATGCCAACGAAATAGCAGCTGTTCATCAGCAATACGCAGTAGAACCATTTAAATTCTTAGATCCACCCTTGAAATTAGAATTTCCCCAAGCAATTGAATTGTTGGCAGAAGCAGGTGTAATTTTAGGAGAAGAGGATGATTTATCAACACCAGATGAAAAATTATTGGGAAAATTAGTAAAAGCTAAAGTAAAGTGTTTCCTTTTATAAATATCTTTTAACATTTTTAACGCATTATTATAAAAAATATGTTTCTTTTTTAGTATGACACAGATTTTTATATTTTGGATAAATATCCTTTGGCAATAAGACCATTCTACACTATGCCTGATCCAAATAATCCTGTAAGTGTGATCACTTTTAACATTTATTTCTTTATAAAATTGTTTGTAATAGAATCAAAATAATAATTTAATTATATTTTTCTATATATAATAGAAAGCATCAAATTCTTATGACATGTTTATGCGTGGCGAAGAAATTATATCCGGTGCTCAACGTATTCATGACCCAGACTTTTTAACAGAACGTGCCAAGCATCATGGTATTGGTAAGTTACTTTACATTTATACTTATTTATCTATATATATATTATATTTAAAAATTATATATTATATTCTAAATAATATTGTAAACTAATGTAATCATTTTGTGTTGTAGATATTGAAAAAATTAAATCATACATCGATGCATTTCGATATGGGTGTCCTCCTCATGCCGGTGGCGGTATCGGTTTGGAACGTGTGGTGATGTTATATCTTGGTCTGGATAATATTCGAAAAACTTCCATGTTTCCACGTGATCCTAAACGTCTTACACCATAGATATTTTACGCATACTATATTTACTAAATATGTATAGCGATAATATTGCTTTGTATGTTGACATTTTTAAAGTCTTTATAATATAAAAAGAAGAAAAAACCAAAGTGAATTTATCAAAAGTTAAATGCAATTATTATATCCTATCTTAAACAGCCATTAGCTCAACATTATTTACAGCGAAAGAAATATTAAATAAATGAGAGTTTATTAAATGAAATAAGTTATGATTTAGTTATGAAAATATATAGAAATATATCTATTTTAATGCTTTATATATATTATTTAATTAATACTATCTCTATATATTTTCTCTCTCTGATATTTTTTTCTTTCACTGTCATTATTCATATATGGAGATGCAAGTTATCTTCACAATAACAATCATATTTAAAAAAAAAATACAGAAACGTATAAATTCAGTCTACTATCATTAATACTTTGACCCACTCTAACCTTATTATTAGGTTATGCGAGAGAATCTTATAAAGTCGAGTATTATAATAAATTTCTTTTGAAAGATTCTATATATATAAACGTACATAATTATATATATACTTTATTAATAATATACTTAAAATTTCTTTGTATGTAAGTGTATTTTAATATATTATATTTTATTATATATTTTTTAATTTATTACATAATTTCTTTACAGATAAAATGATCAAGTTAAGTTTACGACTACCGAAATTGAAGATTCATCATATTAAAGATAATATTAAGATTAATAATAATAGACAGTATTCAGATTTTATAAAAGTAGTTGAAGTAGGACCAAGAGATGGATTACAAAATGAACCAAAGATTGTACCTACTAATACGAAAATTCAATTAATAAATAAATTATCTGAAACAGGTTTGCGTACTATTGAAACGACAAGTTTTGTATCACCAAAATGGATACCACAAATGGCAGATAATATTGAATTATATACGCAAATAAAAAAGAATCCTGATATATCGTACCCAGTACTAGTACCAAATTTGATAGGATTAGATAATGCATTAAAAGTAGGCATTAAGGAAATAGCAATTTTTGGAGCAGCGTCAGAAACATTTACAAAAAAAAACATTAATTGTTCTATAGAGGAAAGTGTAACAAACTTTACAGCTGTGATTAAACAAGCTAAAAAACAAAATGTAAAAGTTAGAGGTTATATTTCTTGTATCGTTGGCTGTCCTTACGAAGGATACATAGAGCCTAAAATTGTAGTTAACTTATCTTCATTAATGTTAGATCTTGGATGTTATGAAATATCTTTAGGAGATACAATTGGTGTAGGAACACCTAAATACATTAAACGACTTCTGAAAGAATTACAGAAGATATCATCCTGTGATATGTCTAAATTTGCTTTACATTGTCACGATACTTATGGTCAAGCAATAGCAAATATATATGTTGGTCTTGAAAATGGCATTAGAGTATTTGATTCTTCCGTTGCTGGGCTTGGAGGATGTCCGTATGCTGCTGGTGCTTCAGGAAACGTTGCAACTGAGGATTTGTTATACCTTTTACACGGGCAAGGCTTAGAAACTGGAGTAAATATAAATAAAATAGTAGAAATAGGTAATTATATCTGTAAGGAATTAAATAGAAAGAATCAATCTAAAGCTGGACTTGCTATCTTTGCCAAAAAACGTCATCAATTTTAAATAAATATATATATATATAAACAAACTGTATGTTAAAGTTTGTTTGTATTATTTAAGTCATATTTATAAGTGCATTTAATAATACAAATTGTGATCGTTATATATATATATATATATATATATATACATATACATGTACNTACATGTACATATATATATTATATTTCAAATCCAGAATATCAATCACATGTTAATATACAAGTATACAAGTAAATATTTAAAAAGTACATTATAATACATACGTAATATTAAAATAATACAAGAAAAAATATATATATAGAATTAACCATGTACATTAAACCTGTTACGAAATATTTGATAATTCCTGTAATATAGCCTGTGTATCTAATGTACTGAGATCAATTGATCCTCGAGTATCGATGACAACACCAGTTACCTATAAGATTTATAAGTTTGATTAATTAATTTTACTATTAATATTATTAATTTTAAATGCATAATATATATTTATATATATTTACCATATCTTCGAAAAAAGCTGTATGATTAGGTTTTTCAGAATATCTTTCGTACTGATCTAAATTATCTCGCAATTTTAAAGTAAGACTATCATAATTTTGTATTATAATAGACATAATTTGTTGTTCGGATGGAGTAGATAAGCTTTCGCTAGTTAACCATGCTGTTATTTTTGGTGAAAAATGATTAACAATATCTCTCATATTAACTAATGAATTAGTTAATTTAAGTGCATGTTCTTTATATTCATATGATTCACTCGTTGAATATCTTAATGCTGTAATATATAAAATAATATGATTATCTTTAACATAACTAATTATTTCTTTCATTTATATAATAATTTGTAAATAGACAAAAAATATATTTACCCATAGCATTTAAATTAGTGAAAATAAGTTTCATTCGTATAATTTCATAAAATAATTCATCATAACTACTTGACGAAGATAAAAATGTATCTCCATATGTAATGAAAAAGTTCAAAATATTAGCAACCTATGAAAGCCAATAGTATATTATAATTTTTTGAAAGCTTCTTTCGTTTAGTCACTTTACCTGAATAGCTAATGGAAAAATATTCATTTTTTTAATCAGATGGCTCTCATGAGTAGTAAGGAATTTCAAAAGATTAATTAAGGCAGTCCAAAGATCTCTCCATTGATATCCAAGTCTGACTCTGCATCTTTTTTGGTAACACAAAAGTCTTTGCAATACACCGATACATTGGTGATATAATTCAAGAGGAAACTTCTTCATCATGTGCGATGTTATAAATTCGACTAGTAAATCTGAAATAAAATGATGTTAATTTAATATTTTTCATAAAATACATGTGACTAACACGTAATATATAATATAATAATTATACCAAGTAATGTAGCCGCAAGAGGTTGTGCAGGTGCTACTTTATCCTGTAACTTTCTATGATGCATGGGTACTCTGTGTAACTGTACTCTAAACGCTAAATTAGCATCATGCATCAAACTATTTGCATATTGATCTTCTGCAATGCAGCTTAATATTAGGAAACATAATTTGACATTATTCATTATCGCCTCTGTTCTTATAACCTGCATAACTATAGAACTGAAATGATACAAAATTGTTTGAAGATATAAACTACTAATAAATAAATTGATTTTAATTGATTTGTTTGTACTGTGATACATTACCAATATTGTAAAAATGTAGCAAGTAAATTAAATGGCTGTGCCATAACATCTGGTGGTTGAGCTCCAGGAGCTACAGCATTAGGACCAAGAGTATTATTTGGCGAAGGCGGAGCACTCGTATCACTTTGTGTATATGCCAATGTAGTTACAAAATTACGATTTAAATGTGTGGCCTCGTATAAAGCTAATAATAAAGCATTATTTGCGCGAACTTGTTGCGTTTTAGCTTCCTCTTCTCCAACAAACATACTACCAACAATACTTGTTAAAGATGATAACCATGACGCTTGTATTTCTATAAAAATTAATTATTTTATAAGAAAATAATTTTGTATATAAATCAACACACACACAATGTATATATTTTTAAATAAATTTAAATTCTACATTACCTGTTCTTTGTTGAGCGAATTGTCTACAAAATTCAGTCAATGAACTTGATATTACTTGTCCGTATCCATTAAGTGCTAACTCATCGTCGAGAATTGATAATTTAACAATGTAAGGATTTGTACTTTCATGCTTTCTATAGTTAACTAAAAGTGTTAACAATAGAACTGCATCATGACCATGACGATTTCTGGCTCCTGTATCTCTCAATAACTAGAACAAATATATGATTAGTAATACTTAATAAAAGCATAATTATATTTATGCTTACTTGTACACTTACTTGAACTAAAGACTCGAAAACACTATTAAGCATCACATATTCCAGTAGTGTATTCTGGCTTACGTTATCCATTCCGGTAACAATAATGAGTAATAGTTTTAAACACAAAGCTTTTAAGCTATCAGGATATTCACCTAAAGAATATTATTATAAAATACATAGAGACAATTATTAACAAACATATCTAAAAAAAAATAAGTAATTAATTTAAATTACCTGTTAAAAAATTATTACAATGTTGCATTAATGTTGTCATTCTCTGTTCAGCGGAATTAAATCCTACAAGGATATCTATTAAGTTAAATCCGCAATCTCCCTGACTAGCCTTTTTATACATGGATTGAATAACAGCTGCTAAAGTTTGTAATGCATATACTACTCTAAATGGATGTTCGTCAACTAATGTATCCACGCAATGACATACTAAAGCATTTAAATTTTCTCTGCTTGCATTCAATTGTTCTAACGTCATATGAAGAATTTCACTTTCGATGTGAGGAACCTATAAACAAATAATTATTAAGATAAATTTATTATGATAGTTTCTAATTTGGTAAGTATTGTTAATTCTATTTTATATTAAATTACCTTACCATAGGTTTAATAAGAAATAACTCATTCCAAAAATTTGGATGTGCCAAAGTTAAATCCTCTCCTTTAAAAAAACTTTCATAAATAGGTACAAGCTTTCCTTTGTGCTGACGTTTAGAGCCAGAACCACTCCGCTTACGCATTGCCATTGTCATGATGATTTATTCTTCTTTGATCATTCCTCTTATCTAGAAAACAATTGTTTATTAATAAAAACATCGATATTAAATATTTCATGTAAATTAATACGGTTCCTACTATAGTAAAGAATATGCTGCATTGAAAAAAATAAACTATTTTATTATATATTATAAAATAATATTAATATTGCATAGCGATGATAATAATATATATAATTAATCAATAATCTACTCTTGACACCTGCAACTTGCATGTTCTTGTCAAATTAATGCACATGCAATACTATTTTATAACCTAACTTTTATATGATATATACAAATCTTAGAGGTTATAATTATATAAATTACATTGACATAATCGTAATTTAATTTAATATACATAAATAATAAAATAAATAAAATTACAATCAAAATATAAATTAAAAGTATATACTTACAAACATAACTTGAAATTATCTCTGTCTTAAAAATTTGTATATTTGATTTTTCTGGAAAAAATACAGTATGTATATTATAAATAAAATATTTGACGAGTGGCGAATAAATTGTTAATTTTCAAATGGTTTTTTTATGAAAACAATACATACGTTTATAAATACCACTCATGGAAGAATGACAGACCGCTATGAAGCGGCCCCGACCGCCATAAATATACTTATCAGAATATTTTCAAGTGCATACTTTGCTAAGTATACATTCATATTGATTTTCGTTCAAACAAATAAGAAATTAAACGATTATTGTGTTGCCACCATAAAATATCTTTTCCTTTCTAATCCTATAAATAAAAAGATATATACTTTACATATATATTCTATAAATATTTTTAATAATAGTGACTTTTAAAAATACCGCCAATTGATGACGTAATATCTATAACTAGATATTAGGTAATTTATTGGTCAATTGTAAACAGATTATTAAAATTCTATTTCTAAATATTCTATTAGTCTTAATTACAAAATATATAATTAAATATGCATTATAAAAACATAACATTAAATAGGAAAGAAAAAAGGGATTATTATTAATTGTATTTACAAAAAATATTATATATTACATATCATATGTCAATGGAATAATCGATAATCGAATTACATGTAAACAAGTGGGTTCGTATAATTAATTGCATGAATTCATGTTTTCCGATGTTTATTATATCGATGTTGTTTACAGTTTATATGGTAATATGATACAAAAAAAAAAAGAATTTAATCCGATAAATATCATGATGCAATAAGTAACTTTATATAAAACGTTTTCATGTTTTTTTTTGTGATTTTAATGATTAGTTATTTTATCGAACATGGTTGATCCGCGTTATTGTTTACGTAATATCCGGTACACATTATTTATCAATTGTATGAATAATACTTCTTGATAATCTTTGGAATAGATTGTATGTTTTTCAAAATATATAACAAGTATTTAGTTCTTTCCAAAGAATTATTAATACGCGAAGATTATATAAAGTACTATATAGATCATAGTTAGAAAGGTAGTATAAATTTAAATATGGCGGTAATCCTATCAGCTGATACCGTCTGCTGGAATGACGGATTGCAATTTGGTTAACTGGTCTGTTTAGACCAGTCATTTTGGTGCAAGTATTCTATTTAGTGATGATTATTTTTATATGATTCACACGTGTACAAAGATATTGAATTATTGGTTTCCCATGACGTAAAAATAAATAGAATTATATCCAATGTTGACAGAATTTAAAGGGAACAGATTTTGTAACCTGCGTCACTGACAGGTGGTGGTGCAGGAATGCAGTTAAACACATAAAATTTGTTTTTTTTTTCAATTATATCATTATCGAATTAGTATTTGAATAAATTTCCAATCCCAAGAAGATCCGGCTGTGATGAGTGACTCCGAACAGCGGCAACTGCACGTGCCTTATCGAGAATATCACAGTCAGAACAATACCAATCCTCCTGCTTTGATTGAAACTGACGCATTAGTAGATCTGTCAGTAACATCAAATAGTTGTGTCTCACGAAATTTGTCTACAGAACTACTCCCAGACGTAGAATTTGTTCCAAACATAAGTAGCGATCAAACTATAGCCATTGATTCAACTGGGATAGACCGGGAGAGCCAGCCTCTCCTTGGTCGATTGGAACTTGATGTTACCTTTAATCGATTCCCTGGTATGTTGTTACAACTAAGCTTTTTTTATATTTTCTTTTTATATTATAACTCTGCTGTAATTAATATAATTTATGAGAGCAGTATACATAGATATCAAAGGATTTAATAAATCTAATTCATGATATTAATTTCTTCCTCGTAGATGATCCACAATTTTCAGAACTAGTATGGCAAGCAGAATGTGCAATAGACAATGGAATCTTTCCTGAAAGAATATATCAAGGTTCAAGTGGAAGTTATTTTGTAAAGAATTCGGCAGGGGTAAGGTATAATTTTCCAGATTTTTGTAATATATTAAATAATAAAGTAATATACATTTGCTTGCGAACGCTTGTTATAGATACTTTGTCTATATAATATATAGAAGACTAACTTGTAATATCGATATTATATATTACAGAAGGTGATAGGTGTTTTTAAACCGAAGGATGAAGAACCTTATGGAAGATTAAATCCAAAATGGACAAAATGGATGCACAAACTTTGTTGTCCGTGTTGTTTTGGAAGGAGTTGTTTGATACCAAATCAAGGATATTTAAGCGAGGCTGGAGCCAGTTTAGTTGACCGCAAATTAGGCCTTGGCATTGTGCCGAATACTAGAGTAGTTAAACTTGTCAGTAAAACTTTTAACTATCCACGTTTAGATCGTCAAAAAGCACGTATGAAACAAGCCATCATGGATCAGTTTCCTACAGTTGGCTCGCATTTCAATCGTATTAGTTTACCTCCTAAAGTTGGATCCTTCCAAGTATTTGTAGATGCTTATAAAGATGCAGATTATTGGCTAAGAAGATGGGAACATGAACCTTTATCGCCACGCTTGAGTCTTAAATTTCAGCATCAATTTGAACGTTTGGTTATTCTAGATTATATTATCAGAAATACAGATAGAGGTAATTCTATGTGTATATTTAAAAAAAAGATCTTTATAATATTAATTTTCCCTCGCACTGTAAATAAATATAAGTCTTTTTTTTTTTGTAGGTAACGATAATTGGCTTATTAAGTATGATAATGGCGCAGAAAAAAATGGATCAGAACGTGGAGAAGTTAAAATAGCAGCGATAGATAATGGTCTGGCATTTCCATTCAAACACCCTGATTCTTGGCGTGCTTATCCTTATCATTGGGCATGGTTAAGTCAAGCAAAACAACCATTCAGCGAAGATACGCGTGCATTAGTTTTGCCACAGCTTTCTGATCAAAATTTTGTACAAGATCTTTGCGATGATTTGTACCAATTATTCAAAGTGAGTTACAGTTTTATTTACTGATTTTTGTAAAATTTATTACTGCAAATATTATTTTATAAATTTATTATTATCTTTTACTGGTGCAGCAAGATAAAGGATTCGACAGACATCACTTTGACAGGCAAATGAGCGTAATGCGAGGACAGATTTTAAATTTACAACAGGCATTGAAAGATGCAAAAAGTCCAGTGCAGTTAGTTCAAATGCCTGCTGTTATAGTTGAAAAGTATATATCACATATACTTATTTCAAACATTAATATTATAAAAAGAGATACAATATTATAAATAATATTTACTTTTCAGAGCCAAGGGAAATGGCACACGAAGTTTGTTCTTATTTTCTGATACATTCACACAGCGCTTCCAAAATAAGAGTCCCTTTTTCTCTTGGTGTTAAGCATTTTTGAAAAGTGCTTAATTCAGTGTTAATAGCAGTACCAGCTAAGAAAAGGAACTCTATGGTGCACTGTAAAGCTTGGATTACTTCTTTATTTAGATATTCATCTTTTGTCATCATAAGAATTTGATTTTCGATATAATTTTAAAATTAATTGATTAATGCTTATGTTTAATCTATCTTCTATTTATAATCTCTCTCATTTTAATTAAGGCATAACTAGCATTCGTATAAAAATATTATAAACAGTAAATATATCATATTAAAACCAATTTTTTTTTTTTAAATAGACATAATACGAAATAAAACAGAGTCATAATGAGTACAATTGGATGATAGGATGTATCGGTTATAATATATATTTATAACAAAAATGAACATACATTTCTACAATTTAGAGAGAAACTGCTCATACATGAATATATAAACATGCATTATTGGCAAATACATGTTATATAGTATAACTTGTGCCAATCACTTAATGCAAAGTGCACTGATACATGTGTGTCATGTGCCTTTGTGTGCATATATTTAATAATATCGCGAGAGTAAAATATTTTACTGTGATGGAAGAAAGAAATCATCACAGTGATAAATATGAAGAACAAACATTTTTAAATGTAATTAAAATAGAAAACTATATTGTTATCACGCCTATATATATTTTTCTGGGATATTATTATCTGTAAAAATCGAGATTATTTTGTACATGTTTCTCTTTTCTTCCCTCTAGAACAAATAGTTTCTTTATTTAAAAAAAAATTACTTTTGCTAGTTAAAGTCACTATATTAGTTGTAAATATATCATACAATTTATATGATACTAAAATAAATATCAGAGATTCCTCTTTATTTATTAATTACTTTACTGTTTATTAGACAATATAAACAATAAAGAATATGGCTCACTTTTTGCAGAGTTTATTGCTCATGTATTAAATAAATTGATTGTGCAGAAACTATGTAAAATAAAGTGAGTCAATAAGTTCAATTGTTTTGTATATATATATAAAAAAAAAATCAGCTATAATATGCTGCTTATACTTAGAATATATGCTGACAATTTTATATTTGCTTTTTATTTATTATCATCATTAAATTTAATTGATCAATCCTGGATATTTAAATCAATACGCAAAATCTATTAAAAATATTTAACATGACATTTAATCCTTAATCCAAATTTTTTAAATGTCACAAATTTTGACATCTATATAAAGACCTTTGTTATATTTTTAATTATATTTTTATATTCTTTATACAAGATTTTTCACACCCAAAGAATATATTTGACAAGATATTTGATGTAAAGTTATATAATACATTTGATTACATTTAATTATAATAAATTCATTGATAAAATGGAAGTAGTAGAAGTTTGCACTGAAAGGAAACATTGTGTAGCCCAATCCAAGGATAATTTACAATTGGGCCATAATAAAGTAATTGTTTTCTATAAAAATATAATGATCATATTTCTTGAATATTTGTATAATGTTATCTGTAGATTTTTATTAATAATTGATGATCGTTTATTTATAAATGGGAAGTATCAAATTAAAACATTATTACGCGATCCTATGAATATAATTAAATTTAAATATATGATTTCTTATTTAGAGTATGGGAAGATATGTACAACCACCAAGAGTCAAATCATTTGCTCCTGAAAAATGCTACAGACCTCCATCGAAACCACTCGATACTTATACAACATATCATCTTTCGTATATTAATATGGATCCAAGAACAGCACGATCTATTCGAGCTCAACCTTATCGTCCAATTCAAACGCTTCTTAAATCGGATGAAAAATTTGCAAACGAGACAACAAGTAAAATGAGTTATCAACCTATTTGGCGTATGGCTACGAGAAAACCAATTAAGCCTAAGTTTAGGTATATGTAAAATTACTTTTTGTTTATTTTGAATTGACACACTGGAAAGATTTCATTTCAATTGAATGACATAAATATTATTTCAATTGTAGACCTTTGCTGGGTCGTAGTGGAACATTCGAAAGTGCCACTACAACTAAATGCGATTACATTCCAAAATATGCAGAAAAGTTAGATATGATAATACCTTGTGAAAATATAAGAATAAGCTCAAGTCCTTTAGATGCTAATACGACAGCGGGTCTTTCTTATGTAAATCCTGGCATAATACAACCTGCTACTAGCTTTAAACCCATAACAAGATACCAACGACCTAGTCATTCAGTTTCAAAGGATACTACTCAAAAATTAAGTTATCAACCTTTTGCTGTTGGCAAAAAAGAAAAGTTTCCATGGGCACAGAAATCTACATATAAGTATGTATACTTATATTATTTTATTCAGGAAGGATTTAAAAAAATATTACTTTTTCTGCGAGGTCCCCAAAAGTTGCAATGTGTGGGAAGACTATTTATTCTGATAGTTATTTGGAAAGTGAAGTATATGAGAAGATGAAACCATATATTCCTTGCATAGCAAACATATTACCTAGTAAAGCAGAATTTTTAGATAAGACTATTTATAAAGAAAGTTATTTGCCCTGTGATATAGAAAAAACAAAGAAAATCGTTCCTCCAGCTAATATTTTCATATCAAGTGAAAAAATATCTACCGACACAACAAGCAAGGTAAGACAAAAAATTTTAATAAAATATAATAAATAATTATAAAGAGATAGAATCATAAATAGAGCTTCTTATTGTATGATATAGTTGAGCTATCAACCAGTGTGGTGTAAGAAACGTTCTCCAATCTTACCACATAGTAGAAAAATGATAGAAGGTTCAATGCAAAGTGAAACTACAAATCGTGTTGACTTTTCACCCAAAATGAGTATACCTCCAAAAATGATTATTCCATGCAGTAGTATTCGTATACCTAATGATCCTATTGTCGACAAAACAACAACTGGATTATCGTTTATACATCCTGGCCAATTAGAACGTGTTAAAAGTTTTAAGCCTGTTACTGATTATTGCAGGTATCATATTTATAATATTTATAACATATATATATAGATAATGTTATATTAATCAATAATTAATATTTTAAATTATCAAATTTTGTATTTTATAGACCTATTACTAAGGTAGATTCTGAGACGATAAATAAATTATCATACCAAGCTTGGATGCCAATTCCTAAAATGGATATACCATGGGCACGTCGAACTACATATCAAGTTCCTAAAGATCCAATGATTACAGATACAATCTATCAGATGAGTTATCCTTTACCAGGATATTATATTGAAAATGAATGTCCATGTGCGGAGTAAAAATGTTGATATATCAATAGTTCTGAAAAAATATTACATAGCTTTCAAATTTAGTTATATATATATATATTATAATTAAATTCTGAAAGTATGATGTTACCTTTTTGATAAATGATATTTTTATTTTAAAGCAATTTTTGATCACAATATACATAAAAAGATATAATACACTTAATATACTTGCAGCACCTTTTTACTTGCACTGATAGGACTAATAACATTGTGTACTTAATATATAGATTTTTATGAAGATTTGTAAGGGCTTGGATCAAAACATTTGATTGCGCATAAATACATAAGCGCTACTTATGTTACATTTATATTATAATTACTGTATACAGGAGATTAATATATAAGAGCGCAATATTTATCTTTTACGGAGGATAAAATTATTCTCAATAATAAAATAAACTCTAATCTTTGATAAAAGGATCAATAGACAATATTAACGTACATTTGCCTAAAGATTCGACTTATGTAATGATAAATATAAAAAGAGACAACAATGTGTGCAGTCCTAATAGGGACAAAATTCAGCATATATATGTAATGGTGCTTTACATATGAATAACAATTGATAATTCTTTAATAATAATACGTATAAGACAGGGGAGAGATTGCAGAGCTCGAATATGAAACACAACTAATTAAGCTACAATAATATATAAATACGTATGTATATATATATATATACGTACGTATATATATATATATATCTTTCTTTTCACGTATGTGTGTGTATATGTGTGCCTAAACAAAATATTTATAAATAAAAGAAAATTTAGTCATTATGCACAAACGCAATTTTTATGAGTTATTAAAAATAGCATAATTATATACCACATACAAACGTTTCATGTTAGATTATAAAATTTAGATTTTTGTTAAAAAATATTAGTTTAATGGTAATTCATTATATACCAAGCATTTTATACCATCACATGTTTATATGATCTCTGAGATACCTTAATAAAATATACTTAAAAATAAAGAATCCTCTTTTGTAAATATTTTTCAAAACTCGCAAATCATTTTATAAATATTGAAGTTTTGAAGTGTAAGGCACATATTTAGATCACATCAACGTTACCATATGCATATAAGTCTGCATTTATCTCATTCTATATTGTACTACTTTAAATCTACATATTCATCAGATATTTAACAGAAAGTACTAAGAAAGCTTAACAATTTCTACATGTTTTCGTGATTAAAAATGGAAAAATGATTGTCCATTTTATATATTCTGTTGTACTCTCTTCAAATCTATTGTCAATAGACCTTTTTGAATCTGACATGTAATTATTACACGATAATTCGTAATATTTTCATTAGAAAAATTACAATGAATTATTATAATTATCTTTTATATAAAATATAAAAAAAATTGTAATACATGAATAAACATCTGAATAATTATTTGTATTTATTACAAAAAGAAATCACGATCAAAGAGAAAATAAAAGTTATTTTCACACACATATAAATGAATAATTCATAGTCTTTCTTTATCATTACGTAAAATATAAATTTGCTGATATTTATCGTTGTTTCTACCATATCTTATATATAGATCATTATCTATGATTTTTTTTTGTACCCAGTGTTTTTCATATCTTACAATGACTTAAAACTAAAATAAATGGTTAATGAAAAGCAAAACTAAGTAAAAAATATACCCACTATAATTAAAAATCTATATATATTTAAAAAATATTAATATCGTTATATCGTATTAAAGAATAATTCCTTTCATTTTTCAATAGAATTTTCAATTATAAATTGACGCAAATAAACAAAATTTTATATTAAAATTGATAATTAGATTTAAATAAAATTCTCATAATATATAAACTCGTTACTTATATAACCATAACAATATTAAATTCTATTTTATAAATTTGTGTATAGTATATATCTATGCATATTTTAAGAAATATTGCACTTATACGATAGAGATTTATAATCGAAGGATATATTATGATATTATTATTAATTTTTTTTTTTTCCATTTTTAGATAAGTATGATCTGCCTCTACCATAAATCCCTCCCCTGTTAAATAACAAATGATCTCGAATCATATATTGCATGGATTATAATATCCAAGAAGAATAGAGATCGAAAATGAAGGTATACGATGGCAACCTACAACTTTTTTGCACCAATATACCTACTGCGGTTTGGTGTTGTATGACTGCATTAACTCGGAAAAAACGAAACCATTAAATTGGTCCAAGTTGAGATTCTCGTCGATAGTGGATAGTTCACCATTGCCCATCAAAACCACATAGTCCATGTCCGAGTTTGGTCGCCCACCAATACCTGAGTGGCCGAGACCCGAAGCATAGCTACCACAAATCAAAACACAACTCCAATCACTGGCAATCTCATCAACTATTGAGAAACATATAACGTAATATAAGCTGCTACGCTTTTTTCTTTTTTTTTTTCTTTTTTGTTTTTTTGTTTGTTTGTTGCATAGGGCTTAACTTTGTGAAAATTTTGTGACCGAGTAGCTGGATAGCCGGTACAACACGGCAAGGGATAGTACAAACCACAAAACACCCACCCAACCAACATTTATTTGCCACTACATTTGTAAAGAAAGAAAGAAAGAAATAAAGATAGTTTAATAGTTTAAAGAAAAAGAAAAAAACCAATATCATACCCTTTATCATTCATATTTTTCAATGCGTGAAATAATATTATGATGTTATTAATATTTATTACAGATTTCACTACGTTATTTAATTGAAAAATGAAAAAAAAAAAAAAGAAAGGAAAAAGTACATGGCAGATGCAATGTAAGCTTGTTATAAACGTAAAGAATTAAATTGCCAGTTAAATTTATAATGATTATGACAATTGGAGTTGTGTTTTGCAGAGGTAGCTTGAAAATATCTACAATTTTCCATTGTGGTTGTTGTACCGACTTGCTCCAGGCCTTTACCCTCTTCTTATTTTTATATAGAGAGTTATTATTATATCTAAATTATTAATTTTATGTAATAAAGCGATCATTAGATTAACATTGTTGTGTCTATTAACATACACATGACATATATATATATATAGATATAGATATGTATAGAAATAAGTATGTAGACATATGTACACACAATTCTAAATGTTGTATAAAAATTTAAAAAGATCAAATACTGTATTAAAGCCATGGATAAGCCGTTTAATTGAGTTATTAGTTTGTTTTTTTCTTCTTGATTTCATTAATTTTCTTTCACACTAAATGGAAGTACAAGAATACATACCATTAAGTACTTTTTAATTTTGTTTTCGTTCTTTATATCGATGTATAAAATTTAACGAGATTAACACTTTCTCTTCTAAAGCTTTTCATGTACCAACAAAAAAAAAAATAGACATAATATCCGAAGGTTCCAGAAGTTCATATCACAACCTTAATAAATGTATAAATCATCTTATTATGATCTTTCATAATATATGTGAACGTTTAGCTCAATGTTAGTATATATTACAAAATATTTAAATAATACTGAAAAATATTAGTTTATATTATTATATTTGTAATTGTATAAAAGTACAAATAACATCTACGTATATTCTATCTTTACGATTATTCTAATAAAGTGATTTATTTAATGATATTAGAACTCATAGAACCTTAAATCGATGGCAAAGTACTTCACAATGAAATTGTAATTCTAAATTTAATAGTAATTAATGTAATTATTAATTGATTGAAAATTATAATTGTTAATATCAATCTTATCAATGCTAACGATATCAATAAAAATATACGTGTATATAAGTTTTTTCTAAATCCTAAAAAAAAAAATAATATTAACCCTTTATATACTGAAAGAAAAATCAAATATCTTATGGTAAGATATTTTAAAAATTAAATGCTGCGATCAAAAACTAAATATAAAATAGATTATTATAAGAACAACGAAAATATTTGAAGATAAGAAAATTCTTAATTTAATGTAGCCCTTTAAATGCAATTTTGTTGCTTTTTTTTTTTTTTTTTGCATATAACTAATATTCCATATAGGTAAAACCAAATTAATATAATTTTGTATACTGTTGGTTTTTGTGATATCTTACTTTAATAAAGTTCTAAAAAGAGTGTTTATATCCGAGAATACAAAAAATGCATATAAAAAAAAATACTGTTATAGTTTCTGCACAGAAATTCAGAAGATATGCAAAGTAATATATATTCATAGGAATGTCACATAATTTCTTTCATTAGAATTCACTTAATTCAACACGTCAATGTATTACATATATTATTCCATATACTAGAATACAATTGGATTTCATATATCAATTTAATTGTGAGTATAGAAAAAGATTATACTCTTTATAAAATATTAAATTTATTTGCAGTCTTGTGTATAATTTTTTTTTTCTATCAAAAACATATATTTAGTATACGATATATCTGTTGAACAAAATATATTTAGTTAATGGGAGAAAAAAAAAATATAAAAAAAATCTCATACCAAAGTGATTTGTTTTTAAAGGTGAAAAAGTATGACAGTGTATAAGAGTTTCTTTTAAAACCTTCAATAATTGAAATTTCATTTTTACATTGTAAATTGAATCATAGTAAATGAAAATAAACGTCTTTTACTAAAAATCTATAATTAAAAAAAACCCCAAAACAAACAAACAAATAAATTCTAATCGAATAAAAAGTATAAAAAATTAATTGTTTCATTTTACTTATAATTAAAATGTGATAATTAATAACAATTTATATTTACTTTTGTTTAGATCTTTCATTATATATTTCTCTTTTTAATCGAACAACTAGTATAATATTTTTCATATATAATTTTAATAGATTTCGAGTCAACTTCGATCATAAGTACCGCGTGTATCTATATACAGGATGGATTATTTAATATTTGTATCTGAAATATATCTTTCATGCATTTGAAAGCAATTAAGTTATTTCATAAACGTTAAATAACTTTCTATTTCTTTTTTTTTCTTTTATTTTTTTTTTTTATATCAATATAATTTCAGAATATCTGAGATTCAGTCTCAATATTAAATTTAACTTTGCACATCTTCTATGAAATATCTATGTCAGTATCATACATGAAATTATTACTCATCTCAATTTAAAAAATACTATATCCAGAAACTGACCTGGAAGCAACAGATGGAGTATCACGTGTTACAGATGGATCTGGACTATGTGCTTGGAATATAGTAGAAGGTGTAGCAGGATAACTTCCGCTTGGACAACTTTGACCATTATTACTAACACCGACCACTGAAGAATGCGAAGGCGTTTGACTTCCTACAACTGGACCACCCCATCCAGGTACGTGTGTTACTAGCAATGGCTTAACATATCCATTTGCCGATGTTGATCGGTTTTCTGGTGTATAATATTTAGAGAAAGCGTGATCTTTCGGTATATCAGGATACAGATATAAAAGATGCTGCAAATCAGAGACTCGATCTGCTAAACTGCGGATAGCAAAATCCTTGCTTGTAAATGGTTGAAGCATAAAAACTTCTGTTTGATCTAAAATACGAAAAAGAAAAGAGTAGAGATAAATTTGTGTAAAATGTTTTTTTTTTTTTATATTATTAATATTATAATGTGTGTATTACCTCCAACCCAAGCAATGGTAACTCCTCCAAGTTCTGAATCAGAAAAACGCATTAAGAAAGTTCCTGATGCACAGTTAGCTAACATTTCTTCCGCTTGCTTTTTTCTAACAAATCCAAGAATGAATCCGTCTATCCAGGGACTCCTCAAATGTTCTCTAGTTAATTTCATAACAGCATAGAACCATTCCCAAAATGTAAAGTTTCTTTCTGGTAAGGGCTCCTTACAGAACTGAGCCCAACTAAGAAGTAAACTAGAATATTCTTGACCACCTGAATTTCCACCTCTAAATGCTTTCTCCGCGAGAAAATGAAGATTATCATCTGTTAAAGGCCTTCCCGTAGCTGATCTGAACTTAACGTTCAATGCTTCTGCTACTTGTCCCCATGGTACTTTGTCAGGTACAACAAAAGGAATTCTTCCAGGTTCTGCGAAAGCGTTGTCCCATGTAACTGTAGCCCATGCATGAGGTTCTTGATTTCCATGTACAATTACTACGACTGGTAAGCTCAAAGTCCACACTTGAAATACTAATTCACCCCCACCAACACTAAATTGAGATTGAAATAGAAGTGAAAATTTTTCATCCATAACTGACTCTGTACCCTTCTTTTCAGCTCTTTTAATCTTTTTCAATTGCATATTTCGATAACTAACTGACAGTTGTCGTGTTGCCTAAAATGAAGCATAGAGTTCTTTTTAAATCTATTTTTATTAGATTAATATATAGAAACAAAATACAACATCTCCTATAATTATTATACTTACTTGATGATATTCCATCGTTCCACTGTTATTTAAAATTTCACCACTAACTTCCCCACACTTAGCCATTTTGCCATTTTTTAATTGAATATTTGCTTGACTTTCACTAATTATGCTTACTTTTACTTGAGGCGGTGTCATATGAACATTTAATTTTCCTCCAACTAAGAGACGTACTGTACTTGTAAAACGTGTATTAGTTTTCATTACTTGTGGTGGCTGCTTTTCTATGATAAATGTACTAGTGACTAAGGAACTAAGAAGTTGCGTGATCTGTGAATTTAAAGTGGGAAGAATATCTTGTATTCCTGGGGGATCCAGGCCAAATTTCTGCTTCAAGTGTTCTGCTTCTTTTATTTGTTGTCGATTATGCCATATTAATTCTGCAAGACTTTCGCACCATTCTTGAATGGAATCTAAATTACTGTTAAACGGTGCCCCGTTTCCAGCTAATTGTTGATCCCTCTTCCACCTAAGTTACATAGATCAATTATATTACAATAAAATTCGTATGTTTAATATATTGTATATATTAATTTTTAATATATTTACCTGATTAATTCATCATCGAGAACTCTCGATTGTAATGTATTTAATCTGGCAATAGTATCTTTCAATTTATCTGCCAGTGATAAGCGTAATTGCATTAAACCCGTAGCTTTTTGATTCAATAATTGATCTTGAGTTTCTTTTTGCCTGCAATACATGTTAAAAATGATGTATTGAAATTTGATAATCCACATGCATTAATATAATGTTAATTAATATAATACCGTCTGATTTTCATTTCCAAGTCACTAATTTGTTGACTTTTCGGTTGAGTGGCAAGATGTTGCAAATGAGCATTTATTTTTGTGCATTCATGGTAACTAATAGCAAAGGCCTCCTGTTCCTGTTCCATTTTACGCAATTCTTCTCCGCTTTCTTGTGTTTTACGTCTTATAACTTCAACTTGTTGGGCTATTTCTGCGACAGAGTCTCCTACCATTAAACCAACCCGACTGGCACTCATAGTCATAATACCTCCAATATTTTCTAGCTGAGCGACAAGTTTCATTTCCGTTCCTAAGCAATGTCTAATTATTTTAAAAAGGGTAGTAGGATTGTCGGTGTATCTATGCTGTTACAAAATAATAATAAGCGATGAAAGGATAGTTGGATATATTTTTTTTTTATAAACTCTAGGCTAATATATATATATAATAAATTAAAAAAAAAAAGGCTAAATGTGTATATTTACTCTGAACATTTTGGCAGCTTCCATAAGCTTTATTTTCGTTAAAAATAAATCTTCGTTGTTTAAAGTACTTGCTTTAACTTCTAATTCTTGTATTAAAGAACCAATTAGATTAGCTATGTATTGTTCGTATTGCGGATTATCAGGTTCTATATCGGTCCTGCAATGAAAAAGAATTTACAGGTAAAGTAAATATTATTAAAAAGAATAATTAAGTAATTCTTTGATACCACATCTTACCACATTTTTTCTTCGATCCATGACGAGAGAAAGTGTCGTACTTCGATAGGAAAATGTTCACCATAAACAGAACGCACTTGTTGTAGTGCCTCCTGTGGTAATTGCTGTGCTTTAGTCCACAGGGCCATTCTGGAAGCAGTAATTTGGACTCGTAGTTCTCAGGACCCTAATAAAATCAAATAATATTAAAAATATTACTCTTCTTCAAATGATTATAATAATAATAATAATAATATTAAAAAATAATTATTTTTTATACATGGAATAAATTATTCTTACAAAAGAAAATGTTAAAAAGTTATTCGAGGCGCCATTGTTACGACATTAAATATGGTATTCCAAATATAAAACACGTTATATAAATACTTTTACCAAAAGATAACCCATCATCGATCGATGATCACGAAGATCTTAGAAAACCTAACCTCTCGAAAAAAAAATGTTCAATGTGCACCACCAAACGAAAGTAACATTAAACTTATTTTAAATTTGATCAAAACAAAAGTATATATATAAATGAAATAAATACATATGTCTATATATATATATATTATAAAAATACATACCCAAAAAAGCTTGAAATAAACTGTATACTTTAAAACTTTTAAATTAAAAAGAATAAGAAGAAGAAGAAAATGAACGAAGGAATAACTTCAAGGCGCTCACATTTATCGAAAGAAAAACTTCGTATGAGTCTAAACATATCGAATTACCTTTTCGTATATCGATAAACACTCACTTGGCACACTAACAAATTATCAAAAATTTGTCGATTATCCCAATAAAAAATATTTTTCTCATTAAAATATTATATATATATGTAAAATATTAACAGACGAAGAAGACAAATACCAATGCTTAATGATAATTTCGGATCTTAAGAGCGTATAGAATGACGTATACCGATAACGCGTAAATAGATAAGCGGAAAGAGAGAGAGGGAAAGAAAGAAAGAAAGAGAGAGAGAGAGAGAGAGAGAGAGAGAGAGAAAGAGAGAGAGAGAGAGAGAGAAAGAAGGTTTCCTTGGTGCCTAATAGAATGCGTTTTATTCACCTACTGCTGGTCCAAAAATACGAGCCTCCAGGATGTTCACTTCACGTATCACTGTCCACCCTTTCTCGTAGATGATTTATGGAATAATATTTAAATTAATAATGCAATATACACCCACGATATATTTATAAACGAATATAACGAAGCGGGGACCGGCCACACACGAGAATCTCATCAATAAGTAATCTCCCCTCTTTTCGTTGCACCCAACGTCGAAGTGCCTCCTCATGGATGAGGAATTCCGAGAATTCAAAACCGTTAATGGCGCGGGGAGAAGTGGAGGGGAATGTCACGTGACCGAAAGACAGATTAAGCATGCGCTGGTACCGAGATTACTCAGGAGCGTATCAACGAAATATAATTTGGGTGATAAAAAACGTATGTCCAAAATTGACTTCTTACCGAGTAATTATTTCCTGTCTATTTTCTTTTTTTTTGTGTCCTCTTTTTGTATTTATTAATTAATAATTTTAATTATATATATAGATTTTTCAACATTTGGAATTGTTGTTATATTATCATAAATACGATATTGTTATTTCGTTTGGATATACACAAGATTTTTATGTATATCATTCATCTGAATTGTACACCTGAAAATAATTTTCATTCAATTATTATTTGGACATCTTAATTCTATGGATTAAGGGTCTGTAAATTTACTTTTTGGATATCTATATTTATTAATATATTTATGTAATATGATAATGTAGAAATGATATTTTATTATATATAATTTATTTCAGATAATGCAAGGACAAAATGGTCTTGTCGTATATTCATATTTTTTTAATTGTATGTACCTTGATCATTATTGTAAGAATATTATTTTTAATGTTTATGAAAGATAAAAAAACAAGAGCGAAGAAACTCAGAGAATCACCGGCAAAAACTATGATAATATTAGGATCAGGTGGACATACAGCAGAAATATTGCGGGTTGTTAAACTAATGGATTATGAAAAGTATACACCTAGAATATATGTTTCTGCTTCTACTGACAATATAAGTATAGATAAAGTAAAAGACATAGAGGAAATGAAAAATGATTATAAAATAGTAAGGATCACTAGAAGCAGAGAAGTTGGACAGTCGTATATTTCTTCTGTATGGACAACTCTTATGGCAACGTTAGAAGCCACATCTCTTTTATGGTCTGAAAAGCCAGAATTACTTTTATGTAATGGTCCAGGAACTTGTGTTCCTTTATGTATTGTAGCATTTGTATTTAAAATATTCTATGCTCTTAACATAACTACCGTATTTATAGAAAGTTTTTGTAGAGTTAAAACATTTTCATTGACAGGAATTATTTTATACTATTTTGTAGATCATATAATCGTAAGATGGCCATTTGTAAATAAATCATTGTATGACAAAGTTTATTTGTCATAATTAAAAATATATTTGTTTTTCAATTAATATAAATTTTTAATTCTATGTACCTATGTCAATTTCAGAAAGTGCTATAGAACATAATAAGAATGGCTTGCGAGGCACGATTAACCAATGAATTAATAGATTGGATATTATTGAAAGAAGATTTGAAATATTTGCCAACTGAAATAGAAGTACACTTAGCATCTATTATTGATGTATTAAGAAAATTTAGCATAGACAAATTGTAAATATATAATTACATTATATTATATTTTTTATAATTCTACAAATATTCTTATTAATACATAGTGTTTTTTTTTCTTTTTGATTAAAGCGAGAAGACAAAATGGATAAAAAAATTTTTAATTACAATAGAAGCTTGCTTAGATCGTACCTGGCAAATATTAAATTCGGGCCATTGGAAAGATGTTCCAATATCGTATAGATATAGTTATTCTTTTTGTAGTCTCATAAAGGTATAGAACAGATTTAGTAATGATGATTTATGTTATATTACAGTAATTTTTACAAAATTTTATTAAAGAAAAAAATGTATTTTATATTAATTGTAATGGAACGTATACTTCAATATTTATATTTATATTTTTAGGTAATACTGTTAGAAATAGAACATGAACAAAATGAAGAAAAATCATCAGATACAGAGATACAAGTATTGCAAGAAATTATTCAACAAATTGATAAAGGTATATTATTAGGTGCTCCTTTACCTAACGAGCCATCATTACTAACATCAATTGCTTCCAAAATAAATAATTATTATAGTAGTAAGTACAATTATTTATTGAAGAAATCATTTCTAATATCAGAGTAATCATTATATCAAAAATATAATATACTAGGTATTTTTTGTAGAATTTGTGAGAACACTTAATGTAAAAAAGATAGAAATTGATTATAGTAAAGTTTCTCAATCGTTGCTTCCTGAATTTGTACAAGTTAATCGATACAAGGTACCTTCTATGGAATTATTTTATAAAGACATCTTTATACCAAAAATTCCAGTCATAATAACAGGTAACTCTAATTATTTCATTTTATTATTACAAATAACAAAATAGAAATAATGTTCGATGAATTGCATATAGAATATGAGTTAGTATATTTATAAAAATATCATTTTAGATTCTATGAAGCATTGGAATGCTTTACATTTATGGCAAGATATTGATTATTTGAATAAAATCGCAGGAAGTCGTACGGTGCCTATTGAAATAGGATCTCGATATACAGAGGAAGATTGGAGTCAAAGTTTAATTACATTTTCAGAATTTTTACAATCGCATATAATTAAGGCGACCCAAAAAGTTGGTTATTTGGCTCAACATCAGCTTTTTGATCAGGTATTATTTAAAGAAAGAAATATCGTATATATAACGTAAGCTATTTTTAGTGTATTAAATAATATAATATATACTTTCTTCTGTTATTATATTTTTCTTTATAAATTATGTTTTTTTATTCATTAACAGATACCAGAATTACAAAATGATATCGTCATACCAGACTATTGTTCGTTTTCTGATAAAGAAGATGTAGAAGTTGAGCCACCAGATATAAATGCATGGTTTGGACCAGCTGGAACTGTGTCACCATTACATTTTGATATAAAAAATAATTTATTGTGTCAGGTACGGAATAATGTCTATATATGTATATTTTTATTATTGTTATTCTCTTACTAATAAATATTATTATTTTCTTTAGGTATTCGGTTATAAAAGAATATTTTTATATAATCCATCTGATTCCATAAATTTATATCCATATGATACAAAATTACTTTATAACACAGCACAAGTAGATCCTCTCAAACCTGATTACATAAAATGGCCAGATTTTAAAAAGGCCAAAGGTTTTATGTGTTATTTAGGACCAGGTGAAATGTTATATATTCCACCTAAATGGTGGCATCATGTAACTGCACTCACAACAAGTTTTTCAGTCAGTTTTTGGTGGACTTAGATACTTCACAATTTTAATCAAAGTTTTAATCATAAATATTGCACATCTCTTGCGTTTAAATAAATATTAAAAATGTTATATAAAATATCTCTTTGTGTGTGTGTGTGTAATTATTATATTTTTAACAATTAAAAATATGTCAAAATTAATAATATAGTTCATATGCGTAAAAATATAAGTCGACGTATCGTTAACTTATATCTACTTTGTCAAATTACTGTTATTCAGTAGTAATCCACGTTCGTTATTAAAATATAAGTTTTAAAAGAGAATATTTGTTGAATATGACAACTATTACATCATGTTTGACAATGATTAAACCATTGCTTAATACACTGAAACATATATTATTTCTATTTAGAATATTTTTAATATGTCATTATTATATAGCTATATTTATTTATTATTATTAAGTATAATGACTAATATTATATATCATACCATTTTATAAAATTTATGTCCACATTCTAATAAATAAGCACGATAATGTAATATATTGAAACTATCTATATATATGTGGACAAATTAGATTCATTATAAATAAATAATTGATTTCATTATTGATTTAACAGTTAGATTCCATGAACGTTTTTTTTTTTTTTAGATTAGATTCCTTTTTGTCAGTAACCGCTAAATAATATTATACATTATTACATAAAAGAACAAGATTCTTTTGGTAACACTGTTTTATTTGAATCAGTTGACAACAAATTTTCTTCATCTGAAATATTACCAAAATTATTGTGTATAGCAATACAGAAAATGATTCTTGTCATTAATACATACATAATTAATTAATATAATATTCTTACCTTTCTTTTGAAAAATATTTTTGATTTGGTCATTTAGTGGATCTAAAATATAAAAATATATTTATATTATTATTATATATATTAACGAGTTATATGTAATATATGACATAATATAATTTGTAAATTATACGCATTTACAGATTCTTTTACTTAATAATATATACTTTTTAATACCTTGGATAAATTCATTTTTGAGATAATATGATAATGATGATTTATTATCAAATTTTACATTTAAATTCTCAAAATGATGACTACACGAACAAAAAAGGCAGTACGTTAATTATAAAGTAACTTTAGATTACTGTGATTACCAAAAATATTATCAATTATTTTCGTAAGTTTTGGATAATATATACATACTCATTATTTTTTAATGGTATATTTATTAATTCATCAGTAAGGTCAATTTCTGTTTCTTTGTTCTTCCCTTCAATATTAATATTATCTTCTTTTATCGTTGTATCGCTAGTTTCATGGGTTTTATTTTCCATGGAATCTTCGCGTTTCATAAATAAATTAGAGGCTATTGTAATAGGCATACCTAATGTCGGTTTATTATCGTTAGATATTTCTAAGACATTATTATTCTTAACTATATCATTTGTTGGGGCATCTTCAATTTGAGTATTTTCTGCTCCCAATTGTTTATTACTACATGATTGTAATATTTGATTGAAGTTGTCTGTAAATTTATTTATTATATATCTTTAACAAAAACTATTTTTCCTTATTATGGTTTTATATGCATTCTAGCTATATTTATACACTTTATTTATGAATATATATATTAAAAATTTACCAATAGTTTCCGATATCTGTTTCAAATCCACCTCTTCGGGTTTTTCGACGTTATTTCTTGCTTCACTTAACTTGTCATTAGTATTATTTTTCGAATTGTTAATATGAAGAAGATAATCCCTTAATGTTGATAAATGGGAAGGTATTAATTCAGAAATATCTGATGTTGAATAGGACAACAATATAGAAAGTAATCCAGACAAATCTTGCGAAAGGTTTGTTGTATGTTTATATAATAACGCAGTGAAAGCTTCGATTACAATGGAAGAACAAGGTTTCGATGGGACTTTAGGTTGCGGTATATAATTCATATTTACATTAAGCAGATTTTCACCTACTTTCATTGATTCTATCCACGATTGAACTCTCACAAATTCCAACTATTACAAACGAATCAATGAAGAATTAGTATATAACAATTATATAATTACATTAGAGATTCAATAATACAAATATTATCTATTTTCATTATTATTAATATATATATTAAAACAAACATTATCAAATTTATTATATTGTACCTGAAGTTCTTGAATTGCATTCAATGTTTTATTATATGTTGACGACCATTCATTAAGATCTGAATCAATATTCAACCCACAATACTTTTTAATAAAATTATTTATTTTAGATAAGAGAACTACTGCTGCGTGGGTGTAATAATAGGCTCTATATTAAAAAAAAAAAAAAAATACGTTTAATGGGATATATAGATAAATTTGTTACAATACCTAAATATAAATGTCAACTTATTTACTTACTCTTGCAAGTCAAATTTGTTATGAAAATATTCCAATTCTAATGATTTTAGAAATTTTTCCTTTTTCAATGCGTGGTTATCTTTATGCATAGCACTAGATAATAAGAAATGTTATATATAATCAGTTAATTATTAATAAATAACATGCATATTATTAATATGTATACATAAACGAATTTAGATGAATATGAGTAAATTTTAAATATTTACATTAGTTTGTCACTTAAACAATTAATTTTATTGTCAAGTTGTTGTTTTATCTCAATACTTTTTTGTCTTTCACTTGTTAATGCTTTTATTTTCTTATCTTGATTTTTTAATAGTAATTGATAATGTTGCTCATCTTTTATTTTCTCTGATGGTAATGTTTCTGACTGTACTTCGTTGCATTTTGTAGCCCAATATTGCTTAGCTTTCTTTGATTGTGATTTTAAATAATTCTCCTCATTTATATATTTTTGTGAACTTCTAATAGTATCTTGTACAACTGAATAGTAAAACTCTTCTAATAATGCATATTTATCTTCAACGTTCATGTTGTCATTTGAAAGTACATTCTGTAAATTTAAAAAATAAATATAATACGCAAAATTTGAATTTATATAAAATTGTAATAAAATTAAGAGCTTACAACCAAGATTGTGCTTAGATTTTGTGGATGAAATTTCTCTAATGGATTATTAAAATATTTTTGTACAAAACTATCTACAAAAGTTTGTTCGATTTGTTTACATGACGTTTTATCATTTAATTTATCATCAAATACAGCAATAGCATACTCATTTTCGTCAGTTCCAGGATAATTATTATTAACAAAATATTCGTTTTCGCTGGGAACAAATGATAATTTTTTACGAACATTTTCTTTCATATTATTATCAGAATTCATATTGCTATTCTTATCATATGAGTCTAACGAGTTGTCAGAAACTTCCAAATATTCTTCTGGAGATTTCTATAATTTTTAATAATATATTAAAATGTTAATATAGCGTGCTTAACATTGTATAGAATAAAATATATATATATAATATAAAGGAAATAAAAAATAAGTTATTGGTTTTTTTACGTATTTATGTACACACCTCTTCTGTACAACTGTCTTCTTCATTTTCAGATGATAACATGTTATTATCTGCAAATAAATGTTTAAAGTAACATTAATAATTGTTTCATTTATTTATATTAATAGAACTTTGAATTATTTGTGAAATTATAATTGATTATACCTGTTGATTGTGCACGTTCTATTTCAAAGATTTCACTTGTCAATGCTTTGTAAGATTCAATTAATTCATTCTCAAACATTTCGAGCACTTCTCCTAAAGCTTCTGGAATACATATATAATCTCCAACCATTACAAGTTTTGTGTGTTTAAGTAAGAGATTTATTATATTTACATCTAAAAAATGAAATAATAAAGAAACAAATTAAAAATATAAGTTATACATTGTCTCAACATAATATAATATTACATATTGTATAAATTGTAATACTTAAAATGATATTATTCACCTAAAAATGTTTGTATCTCTGGAGAATCCGCGAGCAATAATTTTGTTTCATGCCACTTTGATATTAATTTCGTTTTACATACTATCCTTTTTGACTTAATATATTCATACAAAATCCTATAATAAAATATAAATAAAATATTATATTATTTATAAAGAGAGTATTTATATTACATTTAAATATAATCTTTATTGATTTATTTCTATTGTAATTTACTCACTCCAATAAGAAACGATTGAATTGACACGCATCTTCTATCTTCTTATTTTCGAAATCGATTCGATATTCCTCCTGTATTAATAAAAATATATGTCATTTATAAAATAATAAATAAAAATACATGCGTTTGTATATATATATATATAAATTTATATAAATCATAAATCTCTTACATCTATAAGTGGACCAAAATAATTTTTTCGTAATTCCATTAGTTTCTTTAACGATGTTTCTCTTTCAGATCTGTAAATGTATTATATACAAGAAATATTAATAAAATATACTTTTTGTAATCATAAAATATTTGTGAGCATGTTTTTATTTAAATTATACGTATTATTAATAGCATTCTAACATTTCTTTCGTTCTCTTCTCGCCTTCTTTCATTAACGCTAGAGATATTGATGGTATGGCTCGCTATATTGTAATAAAAATGAACATACAAAATTAAAATGTATATAATGATCAATGCGTTAAATTATTTATATATACATAAAACAAAATAAATATAAAAATTAACGATTAGATTCATACTTTTTTTTTAATAGCACCTTTACCAACTGGAGAAGCAGATGTTGATATGTTTAATAACGAGGAATGTTGGATAGTATCTATAATTGTAGCCTCATGATTATAGATTTCAATTTTTACTATTAAACAAATATCTTGTGTATTCGAACAGTTAGTTTTAAGACATAAGTGACCTAGCATATCCTATTCAAAGACGTATGATTACAGATATATAGATATAAAAATGAAAATTAATGTGAATATGATATATGTACATATGATATATTTTATTACCAAGTCTGAAAATACTTTTGATGAATCTATATTGTGTTTAATAAATTTCCAACAATCTGGATGATACTTTAATGTACAAGGAATATGTTTATTGTTACATATGACATTAACGAAACCAGTGAAAGATGGATCGCTATAAATAAAATGAAGAATACAAAATGTATGATTATGTACACTTATGCAATTTATTATACTAGGACAGAAATATTTACCTGTAATATATATCTTTGGAGATTGGACAATGTGGAATAATATTTTGACAATTTTCTAAGGCACATTTTGCATCTGGACAACGCCATTTTGATGCGGTCTCTTGTAATTCCAATAAACTAAGCTATTTATCATTTTTTACAATATGCAATATTAATTATACATATATAGATATCATTGTCTTTATAAAATATGAATTCAAAATATTTGTTTTCATACCAGTAAACCATCTTTTGTAGCTTCCTTTTCAATACATGTTGGTGGTGCAGTGAATGTTTCAAAATCTATTCCTTTATTTATAATATCGAAACCACGTTTAATTTCATTGAGAGCCAAATTGAACCTAAAACACACATAGATCTTATTAGAAAATGAAATATTTTTCAAATAAAATGAATTGATTTAAAATTTATATGTATATATATATATAGTACCTGTATAATTTAATATATGCTTTTGCTAATCCATTATAAACAATTGGATATTTACTTTCCATACTTTTTTCTAAATTAATTAGAATTTCTAATGCTTTCAATAAATCTTCAATTTTATTGAATTGCAATAAAGTTATAGATAATAAGTATTGTATCATATATTGAACATTTTGTACGTTCTGAAATCATATACACACATACAAATGATAATGTGATTAATTATATAATTAATAATATTTATTAATAATATTAATTTTATTTAATAAAACTTACCTCTAAATCCGAGATTTCTAATATTTTCAATGCCAATTTAAAATTATTACGTGCATTGTCATATTCTTCATTTAGAAATTCTTTTGAGCCAATTTCCACTAACTCTTGTACTTCCTAATATATAAAAACAAAAAAAAGAAATAATTTAAACAATTTATTCCCCCGTTACAATAAATAAATAACAGTAATAAATAAAAAAAAATAATGACGAATGTCAATCAATATCAATTGTGTTCAATACGACATAATTTGGCGCCATAAAAATCAGTGCTACCAATCCCTGAATATTAACGCTAAAGATTATTTTCAAATATTTTTCTTACTCCCCCATTTTGCGCGTATTATAAATTAAAATAAATATCTTTTTATATATAACGAAATATGCATATTAAAAAAAAAAAGATTGCAAATAACATACAATTAATATACAATATAATATATTAAAAAACTGAAAATAAGTCGAAATATAATATCTGAAAAAGATCGATCGTGTATTTCACAATTCAAAATAATTTTTTCGCGCGAAATTTATTTGTTCAAATTTTCTAAATCGATGAATGAAAAGTTTGCGTACGAATATGATATATAATAAAATAAATATAACAAAAAAATAAACAATATTATTTAATACATATATTTATATACTAAGAAGAATATAAAATTTGATTGAACGGTTTGAAAGATAATTTGAAAAATCGTAGAACGTCACATATACCGGGGATGAGATTTGAAAATGACAAATTTCTAATAAGATATTTGATCTCGTTTTTTTTATGGGGGAATTTTTATAAAGGATTATTATAATATCTAGGAGAGTTATGTAAATATCTTTTGTAAAAGCTACGAGAAGAAGATGTTGTTATGAGAATAACAAGGAATTCTATAAATATCCAATGACCTACGTCTTCAGCATGGAGAGTATAATAATACATACATACATGCATGCACATCAAGTTTTGTCAAACATAGTACACAGTTTATAATTTAGGAATGACGACTGAGGCTGAATTTCTACCCATTATTAGGCTTAGGCTTGAGGTAATTTTAAAACAACAATTTTTATCATTTTCAAATTTATACTGATCACAAGGTTTTCTTTTTTTTTCGTTTTCATTGTTAACCTCTCTAATCGTTTCAATCGAAAATACTTAAAAGTTTTATTATAGTTCGATGCGATTGTAACAACACACACGTTTTTAATCTTTTTTATTTATTTATTTAATTGTCAATTTATTAAATTAATTGAAGAAGTAAAAAACAAACAGCCAAGAATAATATGATGAAAACTGTAAGAGATTCGAATTAATTAAAGGATTATTCATTTGTTTTATCGTTCAAAATAAACTTTTCGACATTTCTTATTATTTTTACGTAATTGACGTAATTCGATCACGTGTCGTTTTATATTTATTCATATAATTTAAGTAAAGCTTTATAGCCTGAAATTTCGACTTTTTTCTATATTTATAAATAGATCTACAATATATATATATATATATCTACATATATATACATATATAATTATTTTTTGTTAAATACGTACGATTGCTATTTACAATTAAAAATAAATTTATAATAATATAGGAGACTTTGTTATTACATGCATCAAATGTTCATATCATTTTTACAAAGATAATAATATTTTCTTTTACCATTTAATAATTTTTGTCTAAAAAAAAATGTTTACAGGAAAACAATTATTACGTCATTGTATATCATTTTGTGTGTCGTGTATGTGTGTGAAACATTTCTAATTGATAAACAATTGAATATACATAGAAATAAAACAATAATATTCTTCCCAAAGAATTCGTACAAATGAAAACAATAAAAAGATAAACGATAGAGAAAACATTCGATTCAAATTTGGCGGTATTTCTTTGGATGGTTGGCAACAATGGCGCGGCAAATAGTACAAAAATTTAAATCCCGATAATCGACTAAAAACGTTTGTACACAAACGATCAGACAAATATAATAATTAAAAATAAATTACAAATTTAATTTTTATCAAATATTATTTAAATATTCGTTAACAGGTAATGATAAGATATTGAGATAAAAATAAAGAAAAAAAAGTAACAAAAGGAAAGAAAAAAGAAGGGAGAATAGATTAAAGGGGAAAAGTTGAAAAAGGGAGGATAATAGAATGGGAGAAGAAGGAAGGAAGGAAGGAAGGGCAAGGTTTATATGGTGGTGTGGGTTGATGAAAGCCTTGAGAAAGAAAAGATCCTAGTATGTAAGGTGCATTTTACACGCAACTCTTGTTATATATATATATATACTGGTGCATTCGTGTTACTTATTTCAATGTTGATTAGCATATAAGAGAATGAGTGAGAGAGAATGAGAGAAAATGTATGTATATGTGTGTCTGTGTGTGAGAAAGAGAGAAAGAGAGAGAAACTACGAAGAGAGAGGTGTTTTATTGATCGTCATATATGCCGCCAAGGGGACCAGACACACTATGTGTGTTACAGGTGACGCTTTTCTAGCCCACCATACAACAAACCGATTTAGGACGCCGACGCATAACACAACGTGGTGTTACTGCCAAAGGTCTGACTCATTTTCCACTACTACTTTCTACCATGTTTTAACGTCATTGCTGTTTGTTACCTTACTTGGTGGTTGGTTGTCATCCCCTCACCTCCCCCTGCCCCCTGACCCCTGCCCGCCACCTTTAAAATGACCAAGACGATCGATGTAACACGCATTTTTTTTGTTTGATCCCCCTTTATTCATATTCGAATTTAATCTGTCAATGGATTTGTTTTAAACCCAAAAATATCTAATGTTATTAACGATAGGATCATTTTTTTTTCTTCTTTGGGGTGGGGGTTATATATATATATATATATATATATATGTGTGTGTATAAGAGATAACAATGTTTAATTTTTTAATATCTAAGAATGATAGATTATTAATTAATTGTGTATCATAAATTAATGAAAATGTTATTATAGTCTATCCTATAATTTTTTTTAATAACTATGCCTCTCATTTTTATATATTTTTTTAATCTCGAGAAAATTTTTGTAATAGAAGATATTTAAGGAAAGTTTATCTTTCGAATGAATTTAGATCACGCAAATTATTTTGTATAAACACTTTCAAATTATTCTATAAGAAAGTAAAAAATTGAATCTGTAACAAATTGAATATACATATCAAAAGAATTAATTCTTATCATTTTATAACAGCAACCTCCTTCCCCCTAATAATCCAATCCATAAAGATTTCCTTAATCGTAAAAATTAACAAATAATTCTCTAAAATATGGTATAAACAAAAAAAGAAACAAATATATACAAACGGGGGTGGTTGATAATTATTATTCAAATCACCGGATATGATCGAAACGCGGAAGTTATGCGATTTTGAACGAATCAGAATAAGGGATGAAAGGTTACAATGGAAAGAAAATTTGGAGAAAAAGAGAAAAGATATATTTAAAGAAATAAAGAAACAAGTAAGTAAGGGAAGGAAGAAAAACGATACTAACCCCCACCCCAACTACAACTACTACCACCATCATCATCCCACAACTACTACTACTACTATTACTAACATATATATATATCAAAAGTGTATCTGTTTTATTCGTAGATGGGAATCGTTGGTAGGTTCGAGTCTGCGCTTTGTACGAACGCACAAGGGCGGCTCCTATCTCGCGTTTAGGTTCTTTCTCGAGCTGAACCTCGGAACCCCGAACCCCATACCCCCCCAACCAATCAACCAACCAACCAACCAACCAACCAACCAACCAACTAACCCCCTCTACAAGCACCCCGGTCTTCACTCGGCCAGTTCTCTCTCTTTTTCTCATTTGAACAACCAACCCCACCAACCATCTTTCTTACTCTAACTCATTCTACTTCGTTCCTTCGTATCGTATCGTATCGTATCGTATCGTATCGTATAGTATAGTATCGTATAGTATAGTATAGTATCGTATTTCTAACGTTACTACCCTTTTTCCCGGGCGGCATCACGAATGGTGGATTGACGCGGGTGGTTGGTTTTTACTCGTCTTAATCGTTGTCTTATTAAAAAAAACGTGAAGGGGTAGTTTGACATATTATTATTATTTTTCTTCTTCTACTTACTTTCCCCTAAAAGCACCGATTTTTGCGATAATCCTGCCGTCGAGCCGGAGAGAGAGAACACTTCGGTCGTTCAAGGACGTTTCCTGGTTCTCCGGCACGACATCATGGTCACGGACAATACTAATCAGGTAGGAGACCAATCACACTTATTCGAATGTTGTTTTTTATTTTTTTCTTTTTTTGTTCATATTTCTCGTGCATATCTACTACCTTAATTATTATCATTATTATTATTATTATCTTGATCGTTAATAGATTTGATTAACACATTGAGAATTGATATTAGATTTTTGTCTATAGAATTTCTTATGAGTTATGGGGAAAAGAATGAGGAATGGTGAAGGGTGTGGGGATGGGAGGGTGAGGATGAGGAAAAAAAAAAGGAAAGAAAAGGAAGATCGTTACCGTGAATATTTGAGGATGTTAATTCGTTTCTCTGTCTGTCTGTCTGTCTGTTTGTTAGTACTGTGTTTAATCATTCAATTGAGTTTTTTTTTTTTTATCGACGGGATATACGAATGGGAATGTACTTTCGTTAAGATTTCAAGATTGGGATGGGGTGTTGGGTTATATATGGCGGGCCTGAGTTAGGATATGGGGGATACTTACGTGATAGAATTTTTTCGGATATGAGTGTATAACTATCATAAAGTTTTTATTTTATTTTCGTAATAATATCGAAAGTATATAAACTCGAATATCGAATATTTTTTACGATGTGTACCACCACCACCCTAATTGTTTTCGATTATTATTTATTTATTTATTATTGATTAGGAGATCTGTTTTTTTTTTTTTTTTTGGTTTCTTTTTCATAAGAGAATTTTTCTAACAAACCGAGTAGAATTAATTATTACAAATGATATATAAGAAAGTTACGAGTATGTTAATGATATTAATTTGTTTATTTGTTTGTTTATACAAATATCATTTGCGAGACACATCGAATTAAAAAAGTTATATATATATAAATAAATAATTATTAATAATTAAATCATAGTGGGGATGAATGTGTTTATCGATATGAACGCTTTGATTTGTACGTATTTTATTTGTTTTTTTTTTTTTTTTAATTACAATTGGATAAAACAATATTCCTATGAATGAATACTTACGCGCGTATAAATATTTATATATGTGTATTCTATACATGTAAATGTGATATGTATTTTGATATCATTATATACAATCACAAACAAATGGACAATATTTTTCTATCACACATTATTACTATACCCAATTGTATATTTTATTTTTCTCTAATTCAAACACGTGTTGGTTATTAATAATTATCAAATTACATAATCAATTTAACAACAACAACAACAAAAATCACGATAAAAATATGATTGTTAGAAATTATATATTGAAAGGAAACAATATTATATTGAATGAAAAATATTATATATATATATATATATATATTTTTTTTTTATTTTTTCTTGTCCTTTTTATCACCCTTTTTTTCAGACCTTGTAATAATCGATTTCCCTAGGCTATAACGAAAATAAATATCGTAATCGAAGCGTTTAATGTATACAACAGGAAGAAGTAGTAGAAGTAGAAGAAGAAGAAGAGATAAAACCACTACTACTGCAGTAAACTAGATTTCACAGAAGAGATGAGATTTAATTAGATCAAAAATAGAATGTGTACACACTTTAATGTATTAATAAATCTGAACGGTAATAAGTTCTCATACACATTGCTGTGTTATTCTACTTTATTTATTTATCTTTTTTTTATTTTATATTCTTGCGGCTCCCCCCCTTTTTCTTCTTTTTTTTTTTTTTTTTTAAATTATTCTTCTCATTTGATCTTAAATTCTTTAATTTAATTTAATTTTTGTCTTTCTGTTCAATGATTTGACATGTCATTTTCTTATCGTACATTTTTGTTTCTCTTTTATATTTTTCAGGCTGACGATACAACCGCATTTCTTCGCGCAGCTAGATCTGGAAACCTCGAAAAAATCATCGAATATCTGGACACTGATCTAGATATAAATACAGCTAATTCGGTAAACATTTAATTATATATATATATATATAAATGTGTGTTAATAAAATGAATTAAGTGTTTCATATCATCAATTTTGCATATTATTCATTTATATTTTCATATTAAGGATAGATTATATTAAATATATTTCAATTTTTAATCTCAATTAATCAATCATCTCAGTTAACAAAAGTTTATTTAAATGTTACATTTTAATAATTGATTTTAATTTAACAAACAAACAGAAAAAAAAATAAAACAATTCAATTCCAACATAAATGAACACCTATGATTTAAAAAAAAACTGATATCATAGTAATGCAAATCAATCCACACGTTGTGTCAGAATTAACAAAAGTTTATTTAAATGTTACATTTTTAAAATTGATTTTAATTCAACAAACACACAAACACAAACAAACAGAAAAAAATAAAACAATTCAATTCCTACATAAATGAACACCTGTGGTTAAAAAAAAACTGAGTGCAAAGGGTTAAATATGTGTTCTCAAATATTTATATATATATATTTAATATTATTGTAATGATAATAATATAATGAAATAAATAAATTGCAGAACGGTCTAAACGCATTGCATTTAGCATCGAAAGATGGACACGTTGAGATAGTAACGGAACTTTTGAAAAGGGGTGCAAAGGTCGACGCTGCGACAAAGAAAGGCAATACCGCATTGCACATAGCATCATTAGGTAAACTATACCGCATAATAGTAATTCATTAATAATCTTTCTATATATTAAAACCATATTCCGAATTTTATTAAAATTTTGTCCTATTATAATAGGTTTTTTTTTTTAATTATTATTTTCTATATTATATTTTGTTTATCTTATGATTTATTTATTTTATATTATATTATATTGTTTATCTTATGATTTATTTTATTATATTATATTGTTATGTTGATATTATTATTAAATTATATTAATAATAATTAATTGGACAAAATTTTTATATATATATTTTGGTTTGTTTTGTTTGTTTTTAGCTGGCCAAGCAGAAATAGTTAATATTCTTATTCAATATGGCGCCGCTGTTAATATACAATCGCAAAATGGATTTACACCGTTATATATGGCTGCCCAAGAAAACCATGATCAAGTGGTTAAATTGTTGCTTAGCAATGGAGCCAATCAGAGCCTCGCTACGGAGGTAAATACAATTGCCAAATTTTGTCTACTTTTTCAAATTCATTTTACGTTAAAAGTATTCTACATTTTTGTTTTTCTTTATTACCTTTTTTATCTCATTTTTATTTATTTATTTATTAATTTTTGTTTGAATAATTTTAGGATGGATTCACTCCGCTTGCTGTGGCAATGCAGCAAGGTCACGACAAGGTCGTCAGTGTACTATTGGAAAACGATTCTAAAGGAAAAGTTAGGTTACCGGCATTACACATTGCTGCTAAAAAAGATGATTGCAAGGCAGCTGATTTACTCTTACAAGTAATATCTTGTTATTGTTTATAATTAAATTGAAAATTGACGTATTGCGTATTGTATCTGAAATTATTGATTAATTTATCTCAATATTTATATTATTATTTATTTTTAGAACGATCACAAACCTGATGTCACATCTAAAAGTGGTTTCACCCCATTACACATTGCTGCTCATTATGGTAACGAAGAGATAGCACGTTTGTTAATTAAACGTGGGGCTGACGTTAATTATTTGGCTAAGGTATATAATGTATATAAAAAATGATTTATATAAAATATTTAAAAAAAATTAGGACAAAGTTTTTACAATCTAATCTAATCTAATCTATCATTTTTAATTGTTTATTTAATCAATATTGTTTATATATTAATTTCAGCACAATATAAGTCCCCTACACGTGGCAGCTAAATGGGGTAAAAATAATATCGTCAAAATCCTGTTAGAAAATTCGGCACAAATCGATGCGAAAACAAGGGACGGTTTGACTCCGTTACATTGTGCTGCTAGATCAGGACACGAAGAAGTTGTGAACACGTTACTCGAAAATTCTGCACCGATCAGTGCTCGTTCGAAGGTAAACTGATTGTTGTCGAATATAATTAAAAAATTTTTCGAAAGAATTAACAACAACAAAAATTATCAATATTGTAATATTACAAAGATATAATCCGTTTTTGAATATTAAGAAAATCAAATGAGACCTATCACATCTCGCGTTTGTAGAAAAATTATGATAAAGTTGAGTTTCCGTTACAACTTTATCTTTTTACAAAAATACTACAATATATCTCTTACATATTCTATCCAAATTAATTTTAATTTCAAACAAATTGAAAATACTTTTTGATCCAATAAATCAACATAGATAATTCACTTCTACAAACTAATCTATATTTTATTAAGTTGAAAGTTTATATTATTAATTGTGGATAAATTATTTCTATTTATAATTTAACACAACACAGAATTGGTTTTTATTTATTAATATAAAACAAATAACGTAATATAATTTCTATAATAAATATTCAATTAAAATGTGAGATTCAAATAGTCCCCTCCACCGTGCAACATTTACGTATCGAAAAAGTGGTGGAGGGGATAGAGTTAGTCGGAGTGGGGATAATTTCAATATGGCGCCCGTGACTCAAACAGATTAAACGTATTGATACTTATTTTGATGATTATTTTTTGGTTTTATTTTAGAACGGTTTGGCACCTTTGCATATGGCCTCTCAAGGTGATCATGTTGATGCTGCTAGAGCATTATTGTATCATCGTGCACCAGTGGACGAAGTGACCATCGATTATTTAACTTCTTTACATGTTGCCGCACACTGCGGTCACGTTAGAGTAGCGAAATTGCTTTTGGATAGGAAAGCTGATCCAAATGCAAGAGCATTAAATGGTTTTACACCGTTGCACATAGCTTGCAAGAAAAATCGTATCAAGGTCGTCGAATTATTATTGAAACATGGCGCATCTATCGAATCTACGACCGAGGTAACAATCCGATGATGATGATGATGATGATGATGATGATGATGTTTAACTTTTTTTTTATACAATTTTTATTTATTATCTCATACATTTGTTGATATATTAATTCTTTGGCCTAATTGTTGTTATTAATTATTGATTATTCATTTTTGTAATTTATCGGGAATAATTTCATCACGAGTCTGACACGTTTTCTTTTCGTTTGTTCCTATGATGACGTATCAGGCTCGTATTTATTGTTTATGATTTAAATGTTTTTACCACGAGTCTCACACGTGGTTGTAGGCCAAAGGATTTCAATTTCATTGCACGTGATATATTCGTGATATTAGATTATTATATTTATATATATATAGTTTTGTTTTAATTTTAACAAAAGTATAAAAGAATTATTTTCAATGAAAAATCACGAAAGAAAATGTTATACAAGATTGTATTTCATGTTTTTTTCCTTTCTTTATTTCATTTTTTATTTAAAACAAATATTTTGCATTATATTTTGTTAATGCTGCTTCTTATTATTCTTTTACGTTAAAACCGTGAATTAAATATTGAAATATGATAGAAAATAAAGAAATGAGAATATAGGAAGGCTGGTTAACGGATTATGCGAGTCGGATAATAAAAATCAAACGAATCAAATTCTATAACGGTCCGATTATTTTAATGGGATTCCGTCGAGATATCAATTCGAAAATTGTTTTTTGATATTGGAATTACAAAAAAAAAAAAAAAAAAAAAGAAAAAGAAAAAGAAAGATAAAAAATAATATGTTAATTGTAAATAACTTGAAAATATTTTACAGTCCGGACTGACTCCGTTACACGTGGCCAGTTTTATGGGATGCATGAATATCGTGATATTCCTACTACAACACGAAGCCAATCCCGATGTGCCAACTGTTAGGGGAGAAACACCCTTACACCTGGCAGCTAGAGCTAATCAAACCGATATTATTCGAATTTTGTTAAGAAATGGAGCCAAAGTTGATGCACGTGCTAGGGTAAGTAAATTAAAATGCAGAAAACAAAAAAAGAAAAACAAAGGGTCCCCATCCCCCTTTTCCATCCCCTTTTTCTACAGATCAAATGATAATCCCTTAACCGTATATTGATCTTTACCTTTTCCTTCCCACCCCCAACCCCGTTAACCTTTAACCACCCCCTACGATCACTATCACCAATTTGTAACAAGAAATTAAACCAAAGGTAATTTTTCTAAACGCAAAATCACGAGAAAACAATATTCAATATGATCAATCGTTGTTTGTTTTTTTTTTTTTAAGTAATATTGTAAATTATAATTATTAATATAATTGTACACACACGCAAACGCATGAGCCATTAACCAGTCCTGTGATATACATATATATATATAAACGATGAAAAATATAATTTGTTTGTTTTGTTTTGTTTGGCTTATGCTTTTCCAAGCTTCGTTAATATAAAATGTGTTATTAATTTTATATTATTTATTGGAAATTATTGGAAAATAATTTTCCCATACGTATAAATTTCACATTAGAATATTATATATTTTCTTTGATTATTATTATCTTCTTTTTTTTTTTTTGGATGGGATGGGATAATTTTTGTTTGATTTGACAGTCAGGCGAATCGTAGAAAATTTCATTGTATATTTATAGGAACAACAAACGCCGTTGCACATTGCATCCAGATTGGGTAACATTGATATAGTTATGTTACTATTGCAACATGGTGCAGCTGTTGATACTACGACCAAGGATATGCATACTGCATTGCATATTGCAGCTAAGGAAGGTCAGGAGGAGGTAATGTACAAAGAAATCGAAAAAATAGCCGAATACGTCGACAAACATAATAGGGCGTATTTGTTTTGGTCACGTCGTAGGGAATATCTTATGTGAAAAAAAAAACACACACACACACACATTGCAACACACAAACACATACACGTAGATACATAGAAAGAAAAAAAAAAAAGAAAAAAGAAAAAGAACAATAACAAAGTTGAAATTTTTATATTTTCTTCTCGAAATGATTAATAATAATTATTATTATTAATAATAATAATAATTATATATACAATTAATAAAATTAATATTATAAAATTATATAAAATAAATAATAATAATAATTATTATTATTGTTTTGGTCACGTCGTAAGGAATACCTTATGTGAAAAAAATACACACATTGCACACACATATACACATACGTAGATAGAAAGAAAAA